TGACAATACCAAAGTAGAGAGCATACCTTTTCATAAGGAACTTGCCTAGAAGAAGAAACAAACTCATGATGTAGCGTGCTAGAGAGGAACTCCACAAATGAGCCTTAAACTAGTGGTCGCAGGAGAGTGGGGAGGCAGAGAAGGCACCAGAAAAGGGAATTTGGATGAGGGTGTGCCTCTCAGCAAGGCCCAGCAATGCAAAGACTCATGATAAATAACTCGAAATACAGGATTGGGAGTGTGGCTCAGTGATAGAGTCTTCTTGGATCATGCACGAGGCACTTGGCTTGATCTCCAACACTGTACTAAATAAATGAGTAAAGAGAATCAATTAACCAGCTCAGTGTTCAAGGATTTAATATCAGTTTGTGTTGGCGGAAGACAGGTAAGATACAAGGGCTTAGAGGTGGGAGACAAAGATTTAATCTTGAGAACTACATCTCAAGATCCACCCAACAGATCTGAAACCAACATCACAACAAACCTGGTTTGCAAATTTTTAGCATCCGAACTGGAAACAACCCAAAAGTCCATCATCTCTAGAGTAAGAAAACAAAATATGTTACTCTCAGACAGCGGACTACTACTTGGCAATAAAAATCGGTGAAATACCAATGATAGGGTTTGTATCTACAGTATACAGATCTTTTTAAAAAATTAATTACATGTTTAATGTCTGTGTCTATGTGTGGGATACAGAGGTCAGAAGAGGGCATTGGATCCCCTGGAGCCGGAATCATAGGTGGTTGTGAGCCATCTGATGTGGGTTCTGTGAAATAAACCTGGGTCCTTTGCAAGAGCAGCGTGCGTATGCTGAGCCATCTCCACGGTGTGCGTCTTAAAGTTGCAGTGTACAAAGGCTGTGTGTGAGGGACTTCTCAGATCATCCTCTGGGGTCTCCAGCAGCGCTGTGCCTGGTGGCGCTCAAGACAGAGTAGGACCTGGACTCAGTCCCAACTGATCACTGGGCCTTTGAAGTAAGCTGGATTTCCCCGGTTAGCTTATCAATAATGGTTACTCTGATAACAGCCAATAAAAGAATTTCAGTGGTGGGAGGAAAAGGAAACAACGCCTTCCACAAACAATATTCTATAGTTCAACAAAAGGGATTATAGAGTAGAACAATATGCAATTCAGTTTCATCCTTCCATCCCTTCGGTTATCTGTCAATAAATATTTGCTAAGGGCCTATCCCATGCCATCATCCAAGGCCAAGTAGGGGGCTGGAGATTGGAATGAAAAGGCGTTTTGAGAATGTCTCATTCCACGGGAACTGAAGCCCTACTTCATGCCACCCTCGTGCATGGTCGGGCCTTTTGTTCCTGCAGTTAGAGTATCTGATTAAGCTCCCTCCCTCGGGAGTGGAAGCAAGGGTAGCCATGAAGGTGGCCCAGCATGATATGAAATTATGAACTTACTTAAAGTAGTTTGAGGGCTTTGTTTTTTGTTTTGGGGTGTGTGTGTGCGTGTCTGTGTGTGTGTGACAACTAGATCATGTGGGTTCTCAGGCATGGACTTTGTAGGTGAAAATGTGTCACGATGTCAAATAGTTGGGTACCCCAACCTCACATGGAGGCGCCCCCAGAATGCTTACCAGACTGTTTCTAATACAGATGCCAGCTTCCCTCTGGGGGAGAAGCAGACGTTAGGAACCGCATGGCCCTCTACAGCCCTACCCAGCTCCTCACTTCCGGCTGCCTAACTGGCCAGGGCTGTCTTCACCCTGTCTTCAGGTCTTCCCACCTCTTCTCATCGTCTCACCTCACAGGACCCTAGCCGTGGAGCCCCCACTCCCTGACTGGTGTCCTCAGAGGACTTCTAATCACCAAACTCGGTGCAGAGCCTCCTAGTGATATGAGGAGGGGCACCAGAACTTTTGGTGACTCAAACTTATTTCTTTTGCTTCCTTGGGAGCCTCCTGGAACTCCTTCTCCTTTTCAGTTCCCCCTTTTGGCTTCTTCCTCATTGTCCCTCAACTGGAGCTGTTCCTGAGGTTCGGTCTTCAGCTCCATCGATGACCTATCCCACCCTCATTGCCCGTTACCCTGGATAACCGTCGGGTTACTAATCAAGTGTGTATCTAAGGGCAAGCATAGTCAACAGCCTAAGGGACATCTTTCAAATGGGGATTCCTGCTCATTTTCTCTGTAATGTGATCTTTTTCCAAAGCACCTTCTAAGACCCCAGAGCAAGAGCAATGGAAAGATAATATTCAAAGCAGATGCAAGACAGGGATGGGAACCACTGGCCTTTTTTTTCTTCATATTAAAAATAGATATGTGAGGGGCTGGAGAGATGGCTCAGAGGATTGAGTCAGCTCTGAGAACCCATGGCCTGCAACTTCAGCTTCAAGGGATCCAGTGCCCTCTTCTGGCCTCTGTGGGTACCTGCACACATATGCATGTTACCTGGACCTGGAATTTTAGACAGTTCTGAAGAATCATATGGGTGCTGAAAACCCAACTCAGGTCCTCTGGAGGAGCAGACAGAGTCTCCCAACTCTTCAGTCCCTGGAAGACTCTTTTTTTTTTGTCTCTTTTTTTTGAGACAGGGTTTTTCTGTAGCTTTGACGGACTCTTGCTTTGAAAAGAGGAGCTGTGGACTTGTTATATGTTGAAAGGCATAATAAAGACAATCTTATTAGCTTATTTCTTACATATTTTGTCTACAATGAAAAGACATGGTGTCTATCCTCAGATACCCAAGTTCAAAACTGTCTCCTCATTTCTTGTTTTTAAGTTTGCATAGTCACCTTCTTTGAGTTCCCATGGTAACATGGGATGCTTTAACAATGCATCTAGTTGTAGTCCCAGATTGTCAGTTCTGTAAAATGAAGACCACATTGTGTCCCTACTGGCCAAATAAGGCTAGCAAGCAAGCAACAGTGTTTAATGCATTAAAATCTATCTGATATTTTCATATCAATAGGGTCTGTGTCCTTGCCTCTCTGGAATGCCCGTTGAGTAAATTATGTAGACCTTGAATCATGGTTATTAATCTTGAACTTATTGACTGGTTTGTCACCCTGCTATCTCCAGTTCTGGAGTACAGGGTGGGGTTCCTGAGTCTACTCCTCCATACCTCCCCTTCCTAACCAAGGGCTGCCCCTTGCCTCATAACTGGGTCTTGGGATCCTGATGGCTCTCACCCTGCTGAACTGTCTGTGTTCCCACTCAGGACCCTAACAGAGTCCCAGTACTCACCCTTGCCAACCATCCTGGGGATGGGAAGGAAGAGAAAGGACGGTCAGCCTACTATAGCTGCTGTCAACCTTAGGCTGAGCCTTGACCTTCTGGCTCCCACTGCTGGTCTCACCTGGCACTGACATCCTAAGTTTTGTCTGGCCGTCCTTGGTTCTTAGGCTAAGGAAAGGTACCCCCAGCACAACATACTGCTATTAAACGTCATCCTTAAGACAGAGGGAGTAAGAGCTCTGTTTGCTTTTAAATGCCTAGAAAGTGTAGGCAGACACGGTAGCTCCATTCCTTTTTGAAGATCTACACTTTATGTCTCAAGTACAAGAAACACTTCAGATATCCGGAAGAAGACAATGAATTGATTTTACATTGTTAAGTGCTTTGCTTCCCCCACCACATTTTCTCTGGTTATAAAAATTATATAGATCTGTAAAAACTCAGTTATAAGAAAAAATAAAAATAAAAACAAGGAAGAGAAAAAAAAAGGCAGCTCGATGCTACCATTAAAGCGAGCACAGTATGGGAAGGTGGGCTCTAGGGAAACCCGGGATAGAAACGCAGCTCAGTCACGTAAACCTCTATGGAGCGAACTACTTAACTGTGAACAGTTTCTATAAAATTGAGATAAAGACTTAAGTTGTGCGACATCTATACGATGAGTATACTGGTATACGCATAATATTTACATTCTAGATTATCGAAGAGATTACATGAGAAGATTTAAGTACAAAGTCTATCGTGGCACCTGCCCATTCAATGAATGCTAAGTCATAGTAAACACATCCAGTTTTCCAGGGAATAAGGTTTGTGAGCCCAGTACACAGCAGGATCCAGTTCCTTCCAAGTCCTTTTTTCTCCACTGGCCTCTTCTCCCAGCGTTTCATAATTAGAACAAACTGAGACAGCCTTCCTTCCCAGCCCCCTCTGGAAAAACTTTCACCACTCTTAGTTGGGAAGGATTTTAACAGGCATTCATTCCTTTGCCGGACTCTGCCACCGTTGCCCACTGCTGGGCCCCAGTGCTGGAGGAGAAGCACTTAGAACAGAATATCCATTTAATTTTTGTTGTTGTTGAATACAGGTATCAAATGGCAAGGATGGGGCACTCTATTTACCTCATTGTTGATGCAAAAACCATAGCTCTCATCTTAAAGGGTTTTTTTTAAAGATTTATTTGTTTATTTTTATTATGTATACAACATTCTGCCTCCATGTATGCCCGCACGCCAGAAGACAGCGCCAGATCTCATTTCAGATGGTTGTGAGCCACCATGTGGTTGCTGGGAATTGAACTCAGGACCTCTGGAAGAGCGGCCTGTGCTCTTAACCAATGAGCCAGCTCTCAGCCCGGGAATTTTTAAATTTAAAATTTTAAGCTTAAATTGGGCGTTGGTGGCACACGCCTTTAATCCCAGCACTCGGGAGGAAGAGGCACGCGAATCTCTGTGAGTTCGAGGCCCTCGTGGTTTACAAGAGCTAGTTCCAGGACAGGCACCAAGGCTACAGAGAAACCCTGTCTCGAAATACAAAAAAACAAAACAAACAAACAAAAAAAACAAAAACAAAAAAACAAATCTTTATGCTTAAAAGGAGCTATTTTAAGTGACCATGGCTTGGCTACCCCACACTCCACGTTCCAATGTGGAAGCAGCTTCATGAAGTTTTATAGTTCTTCGGAGCAATGAAAGACACAAAGCAAGGCAGGTTTAAAATACATTCAGAAAGGTGGATACATCCGTATGGGGGAAGTTTTCCCAGAGGACAAGATGCTATCTGATGACCTTCTTCGTTTTTTAGGTTGGCGGAAGCCAGTAGTCTGCTAAATTAATAGGTTCCGAAAGGTTCCTATCCATGAAGTCACAAGGTGGTGATTCTGTTACAGAAGAGGGCTAGAATTAGCTCAAGATAAGGTAATTAGCCTCTGGACCGGCAACATTCCAATCTCTCCACAGCACATCAGTCCAGCAGTCTCCGCAGACGTGGCTTCTTTGCAAGAGTTTAGTTCACACCACCCCCTCCTAGGCATTAGGAATGAAACCCAATTGGGAAAGTGAGCCACCATTGAATTTCACTGCTAGACAGCAAAAGGTATTCTTCTCACTTTCCAAGCGGAAAAACTCTTGCTCAGAGGGGTGACATATATGGTCCTGAGTCAGCAAAAGTCTTACTGACAAAGGAGAGATTGGAAAGCTCCCAGGTGCACTCAGACAACCAAGCGCGCACCCTTCACTTCCGGTCTAAACCCAGTTTCCTCTACATCAGCCCGGGGCTGACTCTCAGTAGTCTGTCCCTCGTCTGCTGCCGTAGCGCGTCGCCTCGTTGCCTTGGGAGACGACCCGCGACCTGGGAGTGAACGAATCCGTTTCCCGCCGGCGGGAGCTGCGGCTGTGTCTGAGCAAGGGGCTCGGAGCTGCACCACCATGGCGGAACAGCTGTATCTGGAAAACATAGACGAGTTCGTCACGGACCAGAACAAGATCGTGAGGAGCTGGGACCGGGGGAGGCGGATGCGAGGGGCCCTGGGCCTGCCAGGGCGCGGGGGTCTCGACTGGGTGCTTGTGCTTGGGGGACCTGCCGAGCGGGCACGGGCACGGGCACGGGCACCGCGACGCAGCCGTGGGGGAGACAGTCCCGGCGGGCAGAGCCTCTCGCGGGCTCCGAAGTCCGCGGGCCCCGGGCGTGCGAGAGGGGCGCTGGGCGCGGAGCCCGGGAAGTTGGCCGGGCTCGTGAGGCCTCCTCCCCATGCCCTGTCGGGTGGTGGGTCCCTCCAGCCCCGAGTGTGCGGTGCAGGAGACACGACGTCTTTCTGGGCTACCGACTCCTGGTGGTTTATCGTCCAGGAAACGTTTTCTCTTCCGGGATATTTAAATACTGAAAGCAACAGGACCCGCCTCTCTGGGCTGGTGTAAAGATCAGGAAAGATCAAGGTCTTTGCCCTCGTGAGCCCAGGGGGACACAGTTTGGTACCGATCAATCAATATGAAACATCTTAATATTTGTAAAATAAGTATCTTAGTCTTATTTGTCACAAATATGTTACAGGACATAATCATCCTAGAACAAGAATCTTTAGGCGCAGACTCTAGGCACTTACCTGTACCCTGGAATCGTCTGAAAAAGCCTTAAAAGCTGTTCTTTCTTTTTCAGGTCACCTACAAATGGCTAAGCTATACGCTAGGAGTTCATGTTAACCAGGCAAAACAGTAAGTCCCATTTACTGCTAATTTTAATGATGTTGGAGTTTTCTTTCATTTTGTTTTTAACGCTTGTAGAACTCTTAGGTTTGAACCGCTCCCCACGCCCCCGGGCTAATAGAAAAGAATATCATTTTTGTCTTTGTTTTGTATTGAGTGTGTGTGTGCACACGTATGTGTGCGCGTGCTTGTGTATGTGAACGCGAATGCCCAGAGGCCACGGAGCACAAGGGAAGGTCAGTATGATCTTGGGCTCCGTTCCTCCCTTTCCAACTTGTTCTCTGCGTACACCAGACTGGTTGGCCAGCAAACTTCTGAGGCTCCTTCTGTCGGCCTCCCTGGCCTCCCTCTCACCACAGGAGAGCGGTGCTACCTTACCCAGCTTTGTGTGGGTTTGGAGATTTGAACTTAGATCCTCGAGCTTGCGTGGGAAGTGCTTGACTCAGCCATTTCCCCAGCCCTGTTTTTCCTCTCTTTTAGTTCACTGGACTTGTGCACAATGTGTGGTGATAATTTTGCTGGAGTTTTTTTTTTTCCAGACTTTGGCCCCTGGTTAACATCACTCCGTGTATTGATTTGGCTCATATATTTGAGCTTTTGGTCCCCAGCCGGTGGCACTGTTTGGGGAGGTTTAGGTACAGCCTTGCTGGAGTAAGCGCCTCACTGGAGGCAAGCTGTGAGTGTTTCTAGTCCTTTCCCATGGCATGTTCACTCTCTGTTTTGTGTTTATGTTTGCGTTGAAGATAGGAACTCTTGGCTTCCTGCTCGACCTCCCTTGCCTGTCACACCTCCCATGACGGACTCTTACACCTCTGGAACTGTACTCCCGAAGAAACTCTTGACTTCAACAGTTGTTCTTGTCATGGTCTTTTATCACAGCGACAGTTTTATCAGATGGGTCAACCGTTCCTGTGTATAGCTCAGATTCGTGCGTCTGCTGCATTAGATCTTAGATCTTCATGTGTTCGTTAGGCCTGACTTTAGCCCACATTCTCATAAAGATTCTGTTGCTGTGATAAAACACTGACTAAAACCAACGTGGGGAGGAGAGAGTTTGTCTTACAGGGCAGGGACTGAAACAGAAACATGAAGAGGCAGGGCTCACCGGCTTGCTCTCTTTGGGCTCGTTCTGCTTGCTTATACACCTCAGGACCATCTGCCCACTGTGTGCTGGGCCCGCCTACATCAGACGCCCCCCAGACATGCCCGCAGGCCCTCAGTTTGGGTCACCTGTTTCTGAGTGTGCTGAGTTGACAACTGAAGCTATGACAGAGGCCAACACGTGTTTGACATCAGCTGTCTGATAGTATAGGGCGTGAGAACTAGAGCCAACACGTGTTTGACATCAGCTGTCTGATAGTATAGGGCGTGAGAACTAGAGCCAACACGTGTTTGACATCAGCTGTCTGATAGTATAGGGTGTGAGAACTAGAGCCAACACGTGTTTGACATCAGCTGTCTGATAGTATAGGGCGTGAGAACTAGAGCCAACGAGCTGGCACACGTGGGCAAAGGTGCTTGCTGTTGAGCGTGATGGCCAAGTTCAAATCTGAGGATTAGACAGCAGAGAGAACAGGTGATCTTCTGAGCTCCACCCACGAGCTGTTGCATGTGTGTACGCACACACACTAATTAAATGTAGTTTAGAAAGATACTAGATTATTTTTTTAAAAATATTTATTTATTTATTATGCATACAATATTCTGTCTGTGTGCAGGCCAGAAGAGGGCACCAGACCTCATTACAGATGGTTGTCAGCCACCATGTGGTTGCTGGGAATTGAAATCAGGACCTTTGGAAGAGCAGGCAATGCTCTTAACCGCTGAGCCATCTCTCCAGCCCGATACTAGATTATTTAAGTGAAAGTAAAAAGAGTGCTTAGGATAGCCAGAGCACTGCCCTTCTTGCCTTCTGCAGCATCTTTGTTGTTGTTGTTAAAACAGGTCTGACTTGAGGCCAAAATAAAAATGGCAACTTTGAAATCAATGTTACAATGTTTTGATCTACAGAAGAACAGAATGCTGTCTAAATCCCAAGAGGAAGGATGGGTTAACCATTTGAGAAATCATGCATGGGTTAAATGCCTGTTTAGTTTGTCCTGCTCCTGGGTGGTCTGATTTTTATTTGTTCCGTCAGTGGTTGGAGTTTTTTTGAGCCATGCTGACATGGTGCATGTCTTAGAAAGCCCTGCACTCTAGAGCAGGTCAGTTGGGCTTTATTTGATCTAACATTCTATGGGTGTAGGAGACTGATTTTAGCTGTGATGGTTACACTTTCAGTGTTAGTTCGGAGCCAGGTTTAGACCTGTTTTTACCAATACTGCCTAAGGTCAGCTTTGACCCAAACCTAAGAGCTGCAATAACTTTGGGAATGGACACATATAAGAGCTTTATTTATTGTCTGCTATAAACAGGGCCTTGCTGTGTAGCTCTGGTTGGCCAGGACTTTGAACTCAGAGATCTGCCTCCGCCTGGATTAAAGGCGTTGAGTGCCGTGCCGTATTCTGTTCAATGGTAAGGGTCTGACTAGGCAGTGAAGCAACTGCTGCTATACTCACCTAATAGACTCCAAGATGCGCTTGACAAATTCTAGCCTTAGCAACCGTCTGGCTGCTGCCTGTGTACCGACTTCATCTCATGCTCCATACCTCCCTTCCTGTAGTCTCAGTACACATGCTTTTCAGCAGGTATGCTAAACTCATTCTCAGCCTAGGTTCCTGGAATGTTCCTTTCTAGTTTTTACCTTCTGGTTTCAATTAGGATTTCATGTGTAACATTTTTTTCTCTAATCTGTAATACTGTCACACTGCTGTTAGTTCTATAAAATATATTTGAACTACCATTGAATGTATACAATTTAATGTTTTTTAGTGTTTTCACAGAGTTGTACAGCTCTCACCACCATCAGTTTTTGTTTGTTTTTTACCTGTTCAAAGCAGGAAAGACATTTAATGCCAATTCAGACATCATCCCACTTAGTAAAACATAAGCAACCCAGCAGAAGCATGATGAAAAGTTTTGAACCATTCAAAATATAACCAGAGGGGTTAGAGAGGTGGTTCATCAGTTAAGAGCACTGACTGCTCTTCCAGAGACCCGGATGCAGTAACTCCCAGCATCCACATAGCAAATCACAACCATCTGTAACTCCAGTTCCAGGGGATCCCACATCTCTGGCCTCCAAGAGCACTGCTTGCGTGCATTGCACAGATATACATGACTCACTCATGAGCATTAAAAAGCAAACAAATTGGAAACAGCCCTGACATACTTTGCATCACTAGTGATAAGCTGAATGCAAATTAAAATGCCATGTGGTACTTTTTCCTTCTGTTGCAACCACAGCAATTTTAGAGTATTTTCACCAGTCCAAAATGAATCGTTAACTGTTAATGATTACTGGTTTTTGTTTTGTTTTGTTTTTGCTTTTTGAGACAGGGTTTCTCTGTGTCCTGGAACTCATTTTGTAGACCAGGCTAGCCTTAAACTCAGCGATCCGCCTGCCTCTGCTTCCCAAGTGCTGTGATTAAAGGTGTGCACCACCACCGCCCTGCTCAGTCAGTGTTTTTTAAACCTCTGTATCAACTCACCTTTCCTAGACAACCATTCTTTCTGTCTATAAAATATTTTTATGTCTGTGTGTGATATATATGTGTATATATATTACATATATAATATACATAGTGTATATAAATCATAGTATACTTGTCTGATTTCTTTTAATATGTTCTCAAAGGTTTTCCAGGCTTTGTGGTGCCTAATTTATTTTTATGGCCAAATAATAATTCCATTATATGATATACTAGTTTCCTAGCTCCAAGGTTGTAACAGAGTACTGAAAACGAGAAAACACTAGAGATGTATTGACTTCTGTTCTGCAGGTTGTCTGTGCACATTCTTGATGGTGTTTGAACCACAGCTAATTTGATTGTTGATGAAGTTTGTCACTGTTCTGATTATATGAATGTGTAACAAACTGGCCCAAAGTTTAGTGGCAAAAATAGCCATTTTCTCACACAAATAGATTCTGAAATTTGGACAGGGCACAGTGGGAATAGTCTGTATTAGCTCTGTGGTTTCTGGGGCCTTATTTGGGCAGTGTCAGTGACTGAAGCCTGGTCATCTTCATTCTTTTTTTTTTTTTAAATATATTTATTTATTTATTATTTATACAGTATTCTGTCTGCTTGTATGCCTGCAGGCCAGAAGAGGGCACCAGACCTCATTACAGATGGTTGTGAGCCACCATGTATTTGCTGGGAATTGAACTCAGGACCTTTGGAAGAGCAGGCAGTGCTCTTAACCGCTGAGCCATCTCTCCAGCCCTTCATTCATCTTTTTGTATGTCTGACAGTTAATGCTGTTTGTCAGCTGAACCGTCGCTGTGTTCTGATGATCTGCCTGTATGGCTAGGCTTCCTTGCAGCATGGTGTCTTTAAGCAGTCAGATTTCTTGCACAGCCCCTCTGGGCTGTAACACAACAGAAACCACTCCCCGTTCTGATTTGCATCACATGCCAGCAGTGCCTCAGTTGTCCTTCCTGATTCAGTGCTGGGCTCCACCTCTCAATAAGAAAATGTAGAACAGCAGGTAGGCTAGGAGATGCTGTTTCAGCCATGTTTAGACTGGAGAGATGACTCAGCCGTTAGAGGCTAGGCACACAATCAAAAATACAAGAAAGTGTAAAACAAAAAAGTATGGTGGCGCACGCCTTTTATCCCAGCACTCAGGAGGCAAAGGCAGGTGGATCTCTGAGTTAAAGGACAGCCTGGTCTACAGAGCAAGTTCCAGGACAGCCAGGGCAACAAAGAGAAACCCTGCCTCAAAAAACAAAAAGAAACAACAGAAAAGTGTTGTTTTCAGTTCTTACTTTTTAAAAGTATTATCTTAGTCTTTGTGTCTGACAGACAATATTCTTTCTCATTGAATTAAACAAGATAATTTCAGATTGTGAAAATGTTATGGAGGACTAAAATTGACTTAGTTCTGGGGGAAATTATGATTAGAACTGATAAGGGGAAGTTGTAATTGATCATATGTGTAGGAAATATATTCTTCAGGAAGTCATGTTGTGTCACTCATTTTTAAGATCATGGTGGTGCACATCTTTAATCCCAGCACTCGGGAGGCAGAGGCAGGTGGATCTCTGAGTTCAAGTCCAGCCTGGTCTACAGAGTGAGTTCCAGGACAATCTCCAAAGCTACACAGAGAAACCCTGTCTTGGAAAGAAAAAAAAAAAAGATCATTCACAGGGTCTGGAGAGATTGCTCGGAGGTTGGGAGCACTGACAGCTCTTCAAGAGGACCTGGGTTCAATTCTCAGCACCCTCATGACAGCTCATAACTGCCTGTAACTCCAGTTCCAGGGGACCTGACGTCCTCACACAGACATACTTGCAGTACAATGTACATAACAATACAAATAAATCATTATTAAAAAATTATTTCACATGTTGTTAGAAATAGAGTGCTTGGCTTTCTTAAATGAGACAAACATTAAAGTATGTGTAAATTGCTTTTTTAAGGGCTTATTGTGAATTTCTCAGTAGAAAGGGAAATAGATTTAAAAGAAAACAAAACAAAAAACAAGTGAGAAAAAAACTAATAAAAAAACTGGGAAACCTATGCAGAGGGCACTGACTGCTGCCATAGACAAGATGAAGAGCTGTGGAGAAAAGACTGCATGGCTGAAGCACTCCAGAGCTCTGGGGCGTGGTACTTGCCTGTCTGGTCTTGTACTGCATGATTCTAATTAACATAACAGTCAAGTCCACCGCCCCTTCTGACGTAGTCACTGCAGTGGGGGAGACTTGAGAGAACAGGTGGAAGAAGCCACGAAACTGGCAGAAGACGGGACAGCCTTCAGAACTGATGGTGTAGTGGGAAAGGCAGCCACATAAACAGGTTGAGTGTAGCTTAGGTGTCACACTTGGCAGAGGTGCTCTGTTAGACGGGCTGTGTTAGGGAAGGCAGGAAGTAGGAGGTAGTCCTCAGCTTTTGTCTTGATGAGGAATTAGACCTTTACAGCCCTGGCTGGCCTGGAATTCTCTGTGTGAGCCACACTGGCCTTGAACTCAAAGAGATCTGATTTCTTCTGCCTCCCTAGGATTGAAACAGGTAAACAGATCTCTGACTCAGGGAAAGAGGTGAACAGTCCTAAGGGGTTGAGCTTTGACCCTTTGTTCACTGCTTAGAACACAAGTGGCCGCTCAGTAAAGTTGTGATTTTTTTTAATCTTTTTTTTTTAACTTGCATTTTAAAATTTACTATGACAGCCTCACAGGTAATGATGGTGAGAAGAGAGTTCAGTTGACACTTGGATTGAGAAAGTCTAGTCGAGGTTCGGAGCGAGTAGAGTCAAGAATTAGTTGGGAGGGAGAGCTAATGAGACTTGGCACCCATTGCATAAGGAGAAGTAAAGGGTAATGATTCCCAGATTTCTGGCTAAGGCGGTTTGAACAAATGGTGATGTCATCAGGGAAAAATGAAGCCATGGACTTGTATAAAATAGATCATGGAGAATACTGTGGGGAGACCAACCATATTCCATGTCTCAGGAAACCATAGGTGCAGGCTAAGGGGCGGCTGGTCATACTAAAATAGAGGAAGAAGATAGCTGAAGACAGCATCAACAGTAAGGAAAGGCAGGCACAGGAACTGGGAATCACCTGGGGCAGGTGCAGGAAGAGAGCCGTCAACCTTGAGGTTGAGGGTTTCTGTGACCCCCCTCTCCAGACCACATCTTACCATGCCGCTCCTGGTGACCTGGAGTTCACTCCGCTCAGGCTGGTCTTAAACTCACAGAGCTCCACCTGCCTCCCCCCCCCCCACACACACTCACACCCCAGGGTTCAAAGCTCTCAGAACTTCTGAGCCTCTGGCTGTTGTTGACTAAAGTGTGGTGTGTTGTAGAAGCTCGCTAAATATTTCCTTTTGTTCTCTAATTCGCTAAATATTTCTTAAAGACAAATGATGTGCATCACCTTATCATTAGACTAGGTATTGTGGAGAGCCAGCTTTTAGGGTTTTTAGGTGTTTGGGATAAAAGTGAGTAAAGATTTTTCTCTAAGCATTTCTGCATTTAATGTGTGTCTTGTCCCTTTTTTTAAAATTTTTATTGAGCTCTACATTTTTCTCTGCTCCCCTCCCTACCTCTCCCCTCCCCTCTCCTTTAACCCTCCCGCAAGGTCCCCATGCTTCCAATTTACTCAGGAGATCTTGTCTTTTTCTACTTCCCATGTAGATTAGATCTATGTAAGTCTCTTCGGATCCTCATTGTTGTCTAAGTTCTCTGGGATTGTGATTTGTGGGCTGGTTTTCTTTGCTTTATGTTTAAAAAACCACTTTTGAGTGAGTACATGTGAGTGAGGTATTGGGTTACCTCACTCAAAATGATGTTTTCTAGTTCCATCCATTTTCCTGCAAAATTCAAGCTGTTGTTATTTTTTTCTGCTGTGTAGTACTCCATTGGGTAAATGCACCACATTTTCCTTATCCATTTTTCCGTCGAGGGGCATTTAGATTGTTTCCAGGTTCTGGCTATGATAAACAAAGCTGCTATGAACATAGTTGAGCACATGTCCTTGTGGCACGATTGAGCATCCTTTGGATATACACCCAAAAGTGGTATTGCTGGGTCTTGAGGAAGGTTGTTTCCTAATTTTCTGAGAAATCACCAGCCACACTGACATCCAAAAGGGCTGTACCAGCTTGTATTCCTACCAGCAATGCAGAAGTGTTCCCTTTACCCCACAACCTCTCCAGCATAAGTTGTCATCGGTGTTTTTGATCTTGGTCATTCTTACAGATGTAAGATGGAATCTCAGAGTTGTTTTGATTTGAATTTCTCTGATGACTAAGGATGTTGAGCATTTCCTTAAGTGTCTTTCAGCCATTTTAGATTCCTCTGTTGAGAGTTTTCTGTTTAGGTCTGTACTTCATTTTTTTTTTTTTATTGGATTATTTGTTCTTTTGATGACCAGTTTCTTGAGTTCTTTGTATGTTTTGGAGATCAGACCTCTGTCTGATGTGGGGTTAGTGAAGATCTTTTCCCATTCTGTAGGCTGTTGTTTTGTCTTGTTGACCGTGTCCTTTGCTTTACAGAAGCTTTTCAGTTTTCCCATTTATTAATTGTTTCTCTCAGTGTCTGTGCTACTGGAGTTATAATTAGGAAGAGGTCTCCTGTGCCAGTGCGTTCAAGTGTATTTCCCACTTTCTCTTCTATGAGGTTCAGTATGTCTGGCTTTATGTTGAGGTCTTTGATCCATTGGACTTGAGTTTTGTGCATGTTTATAGATATGGGTCTATTTTTATTCTTCTACATGTTGATATTCAGTTATGCGAGCACCATTTGTTAAATATACTTTCTTTTTTCCATTTGATATTTTTTGTTTCTTTATCAAAGATCAGGTGTTCGAAGATGTGTGGATTGATATCCGGGTCTTCTATTTGGTTTCATTGGTCCTCCTGTCCTTTTTTTTTTTAATATTTATTTATTTATTATGTATACAATATTTTGTCTGTGTGTATGCCTGCAGGCCAGAAGACTGCACCAGACCCCATTACAGATGGCTGTGAGCCACTATGTGGTTGCTGGGAATTGAACTCAGGACCTTTGGAAGAGCAGGCAATGCTCTTAACCGCTGAGCCATCTCTCCAGCCCCCCTCCTGTCTGTTCTTATGCCAATACTAGGCTGTTTTCAGTACTGTAGCTCTGTAGTAGAGTTTGAAGTCAGGGATTGTGATGCCTCCAGAAGTTCTTTTTTGTACAGGATTCTTTTGGCTATCCTGGGTTTTTTGCTTTTCCATATGAAGTTGAGTACTGTTCTTTCGAGGTCTCTGAAGAATTTTGCTGGGATTTTGATGGGCAGTGTCTGTGTCATGTTAATGAACACTTAGATACTGGCTGGTGTAAGCACTTGCTACATTCTACAGTCAAGAAACATGAGTCTAAGTAATTCAGCAGTGTCAGAGGTGGACATATGTTTGCCATCATGTTCAACATGGTGATCTCTTAGGATTACTAAGAACCCCAGATCTTCTCTGTCCCCAAAAGCACATACAGACTCGCAGCTTTTTTTAAATATTTATTTATTTATTATATTATGTGTATATCATTCCTTCCACATGTGCCTGCAAGCCAGAAAGGGGCGCCAGGTCTCATTATAGATGGCTGTAAGCCACCATGTGGTTGCTGGGAATTGAACTCAGGACCTCTGGAAGAGCAGTCAGTGCTCTTAACCTCTGAGCCATCTCTCCAGCCCCCTGACTCGCAGCTTTTTTGAGAACAGAGTTTGTACAGTGTATGGATTCAGATGATAAGAATTACTCATGTAGTAATGGCACTTCTCTTTTATGCCTCAGGATATGAAGGCTAGAAAACTTTATTCTGGATCTCATAGCTAGATAGTGACTCCCTGTGTATCTGCTACTTAATCACTGCCACTGTTTGGCTGTGGGTTCTGTCCCTCTTGGCATATTTCTAGATTTATCTCAGTTACTTCCTGGTCACTGAGCCAGTTCAAACAAGTTGGCTCTAGTCCCATGCTCCATCTAAAGTCCACCCGTTGTTTTTCACAAGTCTGCCTGTTCAGTAAGTAAAAAATATATGACTTAAGTCATGAGTTAAGAGTTGATGAGGCGAAGATGCATATTAATGAATCATTTCTGTCTTGTTTGGAACAGGATGCTCTATGAATATGTTGAAAGGAAACGGAAGGAAAATTCGGGAGCTCAGCTGCATGTTACCTACTTGGTGTCTGGCAGCCTTATGCAGAACGGACATTCTGTAAGTTCTCTTGTAACAAGCCTACGTGTGTATGAGGTATAAACAGTATTAGAAATAACAGAAGGAAGAACCAAGATTGAGTGGTGTGGAAGTTATAAGTATCTCTTGAAGAGAGTATTTTGATTTTTCTTTTACTTATTTATTTATTTATGAGACGGGATCTCTATGTATAGCTCTGACTGTCCTGGAACTCACTCTGTAGACCAGGCTGGCCTCGTACTTGGAAATCCATCTGCCTTTGCCTCATGAGTGCTGGGGTTAAAGGCGTGCTCCACCACCACCCAGCATATTTAGAAATTGTAAACTTAATCTGACACTCAGGAAAGTTTAGGTGATATCTTGGCTGTGATGAAGTGACTGTCATTATTGGCTAGTTACCTAGGAAACGAGACGTTAGAGAGTAGTGTTCTTTGAACATCTTTTTCCTCTTGAATATGTATAAGGACACTGGTTTTTTAATTTTCATCCTTTTTAAATTTCAAGCCACAAACTCAGGTGTTAAAAAAGGAAAAAAGAAAAACTAGTTGACTTTATTTTTAATTTGAGCACTCATTTTGATAGGTCACACAGAGTGGCCCACTAGTGGGGAATAGGTCTGAAGGCTAGCTGCTGGTGCAGTCCAGAGGCGTGAGCTGGCAGTCTGTGCTGGTGTGTGTAGCGTCTTCTGTCCTAGTCCACCAACATTTGGGTACTGCTGCTTTTTCATCTCAACCACAAAGCAGTCTCAGGTCTGCTGAACTCTTTCTGACTTCATATCCTCCTCAGGGGTGGGCACATGCTTTTTGAAACTCTCAAGTGTTTAAGGCAGTGGTTCTCAACCCTCCTAATGCTATGACCCTTTAGTACAGTTCCTCATGTTGTGGTGATCCCCCAACTACTAAATTATTTCATTGCTACTTTCTAACTGTAATTTTGCTACTGCTATGAATCACAATATGAATGTCTGATATACAGGGTATCTGATATGTGACCCCCAAAGGGGTTGCAATCCACAGGTTGAGAACTGCTGGTTAGTGGGTTCTTATTATGCTAATTAGGCCCTGTTAGATTGTTCTGTCCATTCATTACAAGTTCTCATTAGCTTTTTTGTCATGGTTTTTGGTTGAGAATGACTTTTTTAAATCACCAAATTTATTAATTTACCAGAGGTTACAAAACAGTCAAGTTTTAAGTTGGAGTCTTTCTATGAAGGACAGGTCTCACTTGTGCAGCCTGGCTAGTAGACTAGACTGACCTCCATATTCATAGAGATCCACCCGCTTCTGCCTAGTGCTGGAAAGGTGTAAACACCACACCTGACCTCTTTGAAGAACATTTGTTGAAGCTGAGTGTAGTCGTACATGCTTATAATTCTAGCATTTGTAAGGTTAATGCAGAAGAGTCAAGGCTTTGATGCCAACCCGGATAAGACATCTCTCAAAAGCATAAAATAAAATTCTAAAAGGTAGCAAAAATCTGCATCTTCTGTCTGTCAGGCTTGAGTTTTCTGATGCTGGACTTGCTGGGATCTTCACCTCGGCAAGTGCCCATTGCACCAACAAGGTGCCGTGTCCTCTGTTGGCCTGTGCATTTTCAGTAGCCCCAAGCGTAGGAGCACTTGACCATACTGAACTGCCTGCCTGTCTAGATTATTTCCTTAGGTGTGAATTGACTACTGCCCTAAGGCTGAAGTGCAAGTCTTCAGTGTTTTAGTGGTTGGTTCCTAATGCTTTTTCTCATAAGTCATGAGGAGTGTGCAATATGCAGAATGTGGCATTTTGAGGAACGTCTAGTTTGTATATATTGATCATGCAGGTATGTACAGATACGTGTATGTGTGCATGCATACATATATGTGTAGGTATGCATGCGTGTGTGTGCATAACTGTGAAGGCCAGACAGTAATCTTGGGTATTATTCTTGAGGAACTGTCCGCTCTGTTTTTTTGAGACAGGTCTCTCACTGGGACCTGAAAGCTTGCTGACTTGACTAGGCTAGCTGGCTGGCCAATGGCCTCCAGGATCCTCCCTTCCTGCCCTGGTCTCCCCAGCACTAGAATTATAAGTGGTCCTACTGTGCCCATCTTTTTACATGGATACTGGGAACTGAACTCAGATCCTCATGCTTGCACGACAAGCATTTTACCAACTAAGCTATTGCCCTGCTTCATTTTTTTTTTAAAAGAGAAAACATAAAAATACAGGAATTTTTAAAATTCAGATTTATGATTACGTTTTTGAAAGGCTTGTTTTGAAGTTTTGTGGAGATAGCTCGGTGGTAAAGGGCATGCCGAGAATGTTCAAGGTTTTACCCTCAGTGCTAAAACAAACAAATTTACCGTGATGCCAAACATGGGGCCTCACTCCTATAACCTGAAACACTTGGGAGCTAAGGCAGCAGGGTTACTAAATGTGAGGCCGGCCTGAGCATAATGTGAGTTTCTGTCAAAAACCAATCAAGCCAAAAATGCTTGCTTGATCTTCTTATTGCTCTTCTATATTATGAATTTTGGTGGTTCCTAACATTAACATAAATGTATGTTGCTTTAGTCAAATACTAGATTTAGAGGAGATAAACAAATATTACTAACAATTACTGAAAATCGTTTGAGTTTTTTTCTAGGATAGATCCTGCTTAAATCATCTAATGCCTCATTGTGGCAATTCACCAATTAAAGTTCTGTTTAAACTCAGTTTCTTCCTTTTTGTTTTCGGTTTGTTGGTTCCCTCGTGTCCCATGTAGGTGACTTTTAGATTGGGTTTGCCTTTCCCTTCTGCTTTTGTTGTAGTTCTTGTATATGCTTTTAATAGAAACAGCTAGGTTTATATTACCCTTTTCTTAGGTTTACAGCCCATTTTGCACCCAGCTCTCTAACTGCAGACCCTGATCATCTAGTGATAGAAATGTTCCTCTTGTGGGCACACGGGCTGTGTTGTTGTGTGTCAGCCCTTGTTGAGCTCTTGGCCATCGTGACTGCTATAGACGGTGTTGCTGGGCAGAGGGCTAACGGGCTGAGCAGATAGTTCTGCTCTCATCCTCAACACCAGTTAGTGTAACTCCTAAAGTCAGGGGTCAGGGCCATTGCTGCTTTTGGCTGTGAACTTTTTGCTCACACTTCCTGTCTCTCTCCTACTTCCTGTTTCTTTAAAAGCTCTTCGTTTTCCTCTCTTCGTTTTTGTCTTTATGTTTTGAAGCCATAATGTCCTTTGTGATACAAATTTTAGTTTAGTTTTTTTCTTCATCATTTGTACTTTGTTTAAAGTTTTTGCTTTCATTTAAAAAGCCTTTTTCTTTTCAGCCTTCTGTTTTAGGTTAATTGCAGATGCTGTACTTGATAGTTAATATTCTTGATTTCTAAAAACAGCTAGTGTCTGTGACAGGAAAAACAGGGGGTACTCTTGAGAATTCAATAAAAAATTGTTTATTATTAAAAAGTTGCAATGAGGAAAAGGAAAAAAGGCTTTCTTTTCTTTGAAGGTTATTTCAGTTATTCCTGGATGTTGAGTTAATCTCAGGGTAGTCTCTAGAACTTATGCTGACCCATGGAGTGACACAAATCTAATTGTTATCTAGTTCCATAGATTAGACAATATTTGCCTTTAAATCATTCACCAAAAATTGTTCTTACAGTGATTTGAGATGTATTTTTGTTTCATAAAAATATTGAGGCTGGCCTCTCATTTTCCTTTATCTCTTTTGAGAATATGTAAAATATGCAAATTAAAAATAAGTCAGACTGCTCTATACTGTAGTATATTTCAGGGTACCCAGTGTTTTTCAAATTTTATAGCTAAGCATAACTGAGTTACTGTCAAAGAAACTGAAATCCCAAGCTCTAACTTCACCACTGATGAAGTGTTATTCCTTGCAGTGCCACAAGGTTGCAGTAGTGAGAGAAGATAAATTGGAAGGTAAGAGTTTAGTAGCTAAGTAGACTTTCTGCTTTTCTGGTTATGACATTGATTGGGTGCAGTCTGCATAAAGTGTATTTGGCTATTTAACAAAGTGCTGTATTTTCATTCCTTTTATTAATGGTTTCTGAAAGTTAAAATCTTACACCTGCCTAACTTCCCGTTTTTACGGCTAGTCCGCTGATATTTATAAAGTAATCTATGACAGGATTTCAAGACTCATGAGAGACATACAAAGTTGCCGTGAATTCTAGATGACATGGTTTCTTAAACTGTGGGTCGTGACCCCATGTGGAGTTGAATAACCGAATTTAGAGTTTGTAAAAAGATTAGAGCTCCTGACAACCAAAACTTAATTCAAAATCCAACGTGCTGAGGGTTTTGTGGCAGTGCTCACCCATGCTGCATCGAGGAACTTCACTGTAGCCTTAGTTCTGAACACAGTGAGTGTTCTCTGCATTGTGTGACATCCTACCCTGCAACACCAGTGAGCACGGTCTGAACCACCTTGGCCCAGACTTGAGGCTGTGTATGTCATGGGCTGTGCTGGATGTTCTCGGCTGCAGTCTTTTTGCTGTATACGCAAGCTTCTGTGCTCTTACAGAAATAATGCTTTAATTATGGAAAACAAATAATTAATATGTTCCCATAATTGTTCCTTAGTGTATCAAATTGATATGTTTGGAGATTATATTTATGATAGATTATTTGGTTCTAAAAATGGTTATTTCAGTTGCTACTTGTTTTATTTATTTAGTTTTTAAACCATTCAGTGAATTTCAGCTTGGATTAGAACAGGGTTTCCAGAAGCTTGAAATGGTCTAAATATACTTCCTCTATTTTGTACTGTGTGTTGCTGCAAAGTTGTGGCATTGTCAGCACTGCTGATTGTAAAAGCAAAATATTGATTAGCTAAAAAAACCTGATGTGTTCTGCATTCTGCAGTATCAAATATTCAGCCAAGATTTCATTTTTTATATAAAAATAAACACGCACACATGTTCCATTATTATGTTAAATTTGTTTTTTATTTTTAATAAATAATCATTTGTTTTTATTTTTAATAAATAATCAAATTATATGTGTCAAAGGGTTGTTTTAAAGTAAGATGTTTTATGATTTATCAGTAAATACTTGAATTATGTACCTATTTCTTATATATAATGTTGCATAAAAATTTCTCGGACAAAAAAGAAAATGTTAAGAAACTGTGCCATATGTGATGGTTACTATGTCCCGAGCTCTGCCAGGCACTGGGGACAGGGAATAATTTAGGCACAGTGTCTTCCCTTGCAGAGCCCACAGTTTGCTCCTGTGATGGTCTTTTGATTTTGCTCTGTAGACTCAGCTCATTAGTAATAATATTATGCAGTTGCTTTCTCTAAACTGAAATTGGAACATATAACTTAAGTTTTCTCAGGTAGAGATTACTTCATTATCTTTAACATCGTCACCGTGTTTGCTGAGTGTCCCTGGTGAGTGGTACCCTCACAGGTGCTGTACTTGGGAAGGGCCCAGCACCATCGCCCCCTTACAGACAGGCTTGACGTTACACTGTGTGTGCAGCTGTTGGCCTTTTAGGTTTTGGACCACCATAGACAGCAAATGGTTTTAGTGCAGAAGAATTTCTTGTTAAAGTCCCCACAAGCTATGAAGCTGTGTATTAACAGACTGCTTTTCCTGTTGACTTGTAGCAGTGAAGTCCAAGCTCGCTGTGACGGCCAGCATCCATGTGTACAGCATCCAGAAAGCTATGCTGAAGGACAGTGGGCCTCTGTTCAACACCGACTATGACATCCTTAAAAGCAATTTGCAGAACTGCAGCAGGTAAGCTCCTTACTGTTCTTGTGGGCTTCTTTACGAATTGATTTTGTGAGGTGTTTACACAGTGGCTGCCTCTTAAGAGTGAATGCCAAGTCTAGTAAAACCCCATTTATCTTGCAGTAAGACACATGCCTAGTTTTATTAGTACATCGTAAGGTGAAAAATAGCAACCACAGCCCATATTGAAAACCCCAGTGGACTGCCCATAAATCTGTTTCTCATATATTTATCCTGTCATCACCACCAGAAATGTCTGTGTCCCCTCACTACCCCTTTGCCCCAGTCTCTGCGAGTCTAAATCTTACCCATCCTTTAGGAGCTAGTTCAAATGTTGCCTTTTAAAAAACTGTTCCTAAATTTGATGTCCCTATTCCTTCCAGCCAAAAGTAACTCGGCTCCAAAGCTCCATGGCCAAGATTAGATCTTGTAAATCGTTTGTGTTCTTCAGGGCACTGGACAGTGACAGACTATAATGTGTGTGCATTTTAGAAACTAATGATCATAGGTTTTAGTTGTGTTTTGCTGCTTAATAGCTCAGTGACTTTGGACAAATTACCTAATACTCTCTATATTTAGCTTCTTCATCTCTAAATCAGTTGCGATAGTTCCTACTTTGTGAGGTTATACTGAGGGCTCAAGTCAGTTCTCTGAGAATGTACTTGGGTATCTACCACCTTGATTTAATAACAATGTAAGTTTGGGGCTGGAGAGGTGGCTCAGTGGTTTATAGTACTTACTACATCAGGAGATGGCCTGGGTTTGATTCCCAGGACCTACGTGGTGGCTTATAATTGCCATCCATGTCCTCAGCTCCAGGGGATCCAACACCCTTTGGTCTCCTTATGTACTAGGTGTGCATGGAGTGCACAGACATGCGTGCCAGCCAAGCGCTCTCACATGTAAAAGCAGGTATACCTTTAAAAGATAATTTGAACTTGTTGGCCTGTTTCTGCTGAAGACCATTAGGTCGCCATCCTACATGTGTTTGAGAATGTGGCGCGGTGCCTGCTCCTAAGGCCAGTGGCTTACAGGAGGTAGCAGTTGCAGCACAGTGCTATCGTAAGAGGAATGATGTGAGAAGATTCTGGAGGCTGGCGTTTATTGCCAACTTCTGGATGGGTGTGGTGAGGTGGACAAACAGGTGTCACTCCAAAGGAGACACCATCTAGGCTGAGACTTAACAGTCCAGGAGAAACCGCCAGATGAGGAGCGTAAGAGCGAAGATGGAGCTGAGAGAGACTCGACATTGTACAGCCATCACCGTCTGTGGCTAGAACGTGGGGTGGCAGCTGGGGAATGGTTAGAAGACTGGAGTCAGGTTCTCCTTGAGTATCTCCATAGAGCTCAGACTGTGTTCTGAGAAGAGCTGTGGGTTTGGACATGGGGAATTACTGGGAAATCTCAAGTAAGGATAGTCATTGCAATAGGTAAGTCTTGAGGTAAACAGAATGGTTTGGGTTTGGAGCATAGGGAAGCTGCTGGGCCCGGGCAGCAGATACAGCCATGCAGACAGAATGTGTAGAGTGAAGGAAGGCCAGAAAATAAAATTCAGGGGTACGATTTTTACCAGCTGTATGACCTTGCACAAATTATTAGTCTCTTCATGATTCAACTTCCTTATGATAAAGTAGAGCCCACAATAGTACCAACTTCACATGTAATAGGGGATTAAGTGGATTAAGGTATGCAGAGTGTAGTCCACAGGGACAAAGGGGCAGAAGTGGTGATGGAGAGTTTTGTATGGCCTGTGGACACGGTGGGAATAACTTTTTTTGGAGACAGCTCTAGTGAAAAAGCCAACTTTATTTCATAGTGTGGGAAGACATAAAGGATGCGGCCAGTGGCTGGGGTGTTACCTAATTTGTATTAAACAGCGCGCTCCTGTCATAAAGCACCTAGCACAAGTCTTAGTTGTCATCTGTAGAAGCGGGGTCCTGTCACATAGTGTCTAGCACAAGTCTTAGTTGTCATCTGTGGAAGCGGGGGGCGGGGGTCCTGTTGTAAAGCTCCCAGCACAATGTCTGGTTACCACATGGGCAGCAGGGGGAAAGCTTCTGCAGAGAGCTGTGTTAGGGGTCCATACCTAGAGTCGGTCTCCAGATAAGGTCAGGGAGAGAGCAGGAAGCCCTTCCCTGGGACGGAGGGCCTCATGTTGCCTGCTTAAGAGAGCTGCTAGGCCATGGTCGACTGCAGCCTCTGACCACAGGGCCTCCCAGCAGAGTTCTTAAGCTGCACTTGGCACACAGTAAGTACTCTTTAATGGTAACTTTTTATTTTAATGGACAGAAAAAGAAGGGTTTAAGAGGAAGCAGTGAAGTGGAAAATTATGAAAATATTTGGGGTTCCAGAAGCTGAAGGTAGAGTTTCAAGAAAGAGGGGCTGATGGGACGATGCCAGTTGCTTAGGAGAAGCAAGTTAGATAGGGATAAAAAGTGCCCGTTGGATCTAGTAATGGCCTTTGATGTGTCAGTGCAGGGGCCAGACTGATCCAGCTGGGTAAGGAGGACATGAAGAAGAGAGACAACTCACATGGGCAGCTTTTTCCAGAAAATGTGATTGAATTCGAGGAAAAGGAGGACAGTAGCTAAGGAGAAACTGAAACTTTGAAAGAGATAGATAGATAGATAGATAGATAGGTAGATAGATAGATAGATATGATTTTAGAATTGAGGGGATGTGGCTCAGTGGTCAAGCTTTCTTATCATTCAGCACTGCAGAATAAAATAAACCCCAACCACAGAAAGAATGAGAGAACTGGTGCTGAGGCAGGGGGATCACTGAGCTCAGGCGAGCTTACCACTTAGTAGTGAGTACCAGACTAGCCAGGCTGTACAGCAAGGGAAAGACTTAAGATGCATTGTTAGGAAAGAGTGGGAGAGGAGTGATTGAAGATAACCGAGGGTCTGGGATAACCGACAGAGACAGATCCTTGAAGAAATTGATACAGAATTGGCAACTGTATTTTCTTTAAACACAATCTGATTAGGGTTCCTGTCAGTTAAGAGCTTTTCTAAAAGTGCCATTTTCAGTAACTAATGTTAACTGTTAACCATGGGCATTAGAGTTGGCTGTTTTCTCTTATAATAAGTATTTGAATATTTATTAAATAAATATACAGTCAAAGAGTAATTTACAAGTCTTAGAGAAGGATTTCAAGAAAAAATTCTTTGCTAATTTTATTTAAAAATGTCTGTATTATTTCAAAATCTTGTGGTTGGGTGATGGTGGTGCATGCCTTTAATCCTAGCACTTAGGAGAGGTAGAGACAGGTGGATCTCTGTGAGTTCAAGGCCAGCCTGGTCTACTTAGCGAGTTCCAGGACAGCCAGGGTGGTTACACAGAGAAACCCTTTCTCGATGATGATGATGATGATGATGATGATGATGATGATGATGATGATGATGATGATAAATCTTGTGGCATGTCAAGCTGTGGTTCATCATATCCGACATCAGATAAAATCTGTCCTGTTAATGTCCAGCAAGTGGACAAATGGGTGAAAGTGAACTCAGAAGTTAGCAGTGGTTCTCAACCTTCCTAATGCTACAACCCTTTAATATAGTTCCTCATGTTGTGATCCTCCCAACCATAAAATGATCTTTGTTGCTACTCCATAACTGTAATTTTGCTACTGTTATGAATCATAATGTAAATATCTTATATGCAGGATATCTGGTAAGAAATCCCTAGCTCACAGATTGAGTTTGAAGCAAAATCTGCGCGTGCACGAAAATACCAGGGCACTGCAGTGAACTCTGCTGGGCATGTCCTCTGCAGAATTTCAGACTTGGCCAGGCATGGAAATGCATCCTTTGACCCCAGGGCTAGGAGGTGAGGCAAGAAGAGCACTAGTTCATCCTCCTCCTCAGTTGTGTAGGAGTGTGAAGCTCCTGTACCACGTGAGACTCCCGAGTCATGGTTTCTCTTTCTGTTGTTGACCAAAGCAACGTAAAAGACAAAGGGTTTATTCTGGTTTACAGTTTAGTGGCATGGTTCATGGTGAAGAAGTCAAGACTGCAGGAGCTTGAGGCAGCTGGTCACATCACAGTCCCAGTCAAAATCAGAGATCAATGAAAGTCTTTTCAGCTCACTTTCTCCTTTTACCTGGTCCAGCATCCATTTTAGGGGCGATTGCCTCCCACAGTGGGCAGGTCCTCCCACCTCAGTTATCTAAATCAAGGCCGAATTCCCAGCTAATGCTAGATCTGATCAAGTTGACGATGGAGATTAACCATCTCATCTTATCTGGAGATGAAGTAGGAGGAGGGGGAGCTTATTTCCAATAAAGAAGTTTGTGCTTGTTCGTAAGAATTGTGAGCCTCCTGAGATGAGATGTTGTGTTTTAGGAGATGTTTTGAAAGCAGGGGAGGTGAGATTTCAGGGTTGAGCAGTCTTCAAACTTGGTCTCTTCCTGGTTGCCAGTTGCTGGTCCTGATCCTAAGGTGTGGAATGCAGACCAAATAAAGAGTTGTCTTAAGACCAACTTTAGATGCCGACAATGAAATAAAACATTGCCTTTTCCATTGTACCTGGAAGCGCTGCAGGGCCAGAGAGGAAGACCAGAGAGTAAAAGTAAATGGTTTCCCTCTGTTCTCGGCTCTCATCAACCACAGGTGTTCTGAGTGGACTGTATGACTCAGTGAAGATTTGTGCTGCTCTGGATCCACTTAGTCTAAAGTTATCTCTGAAATGCAGTACAGGGACCATTGCTTAGGCAGTTATTCTGGTTAGTTTTGAATAGCTTCTGTCTCCATACAGTTTCTGTGTCTTCCCCATCTCCATGTCCAAGTTGAGGTGATACACTGAAGAAGAGAGGGGAGCCAGAAGCCCCCTCTTCAGCCAGGCATCCTTCCCGATCCTTTCTGTGTACCAGGTCCTACGCTGAATGCCTGTAACACAAAGAATGAAGAGGGCCTCCAGGGAACTTTCACCTGCCCCCAATAAGCAAAACACTGGAAAGTAAAATGTTTTCTTTATTAGGAAAAGCTGGGGCAACTCTGCTCTATGTCTGACCCCTGAGAGGGTAAATGGGTTCCCATTCACGTCATGGACGACGGCATTGCAGGCGTGTGAACAGGGCCATTGGCAGTGACTGGAGAGGAGGAGGTGAATATCACCAGGAATGTGCCATGCAGACTGTTAACCGAATGTTGTTGCTGAGCCTTCAGCATGAACCTCCTGGTGTGAGTTGGTATTTTTAGAAAGGAGGAAAAAGTGGATATAAAGGAACATGAGTTACGGGGTGTATCCCTATTTCATGTTTTAAAGCATGGCACACTCTGGCTAGGAGAGTTGCCAGAACACTGTTAATAATGTATAGCTTTTAGTTCTAGTTTGGTTGATAATTACTGCTCTTTGAACTTGGTCAAAAGACCATCTTGTTTCCCAAGAATGGTGAGAGTATACTGTTAGCTGGACAGTAAAGGTGAAGGAAAATAAGTGTAGAAGTTGGTGTAGTGATGCATGCCTTTATTCTCAGCTCTCTAGAGCAAAGGCAGGCAGGTCTCTGTGAGTTCAAGGCTAGCCTAGTCTACATAGTGAGTTCTAGGAAGGACAAAAACCCAAACAAGAAAGCAAGTGTGTTTAGCTGATTCTATCCTCACTTCCTAACTAGGTGAGCGCGAATTTTGGGCAGAGTTGCTTCTCCCCACTGCATGTTTCTTCACCCAAATGAAATTTTTTTCTGTGATAGTCTAGTTTTAAATTCTCTAGTTTTATATTGATGTGAAAAGATATATAGAAGGCACAGAGTTTTGAAATGAGGTTTGGTAGTGCCATTAATCTTATCCACACATCTGTACTTAGGTTTAGTGCCATACAGTGTGCAGCGGCCGTCCCCAGAGCTCCTGCAGAATCCTCATCTTCCAGAAAGTTTGAGCAGTCAAGTCTTCAGGCAGCAAGTGAGACACAAGCCAATGAACTGACCACCAATGGCCATGGCCCACCTGCCTCCAAACAGGTGTCCCAGCAGCCCAAAGGAATCATGGGAATGTTCCTCTCTAAAGCTGCTACTAAAACCCAAGACACCAACAAGGAGACGAAAGCAGAGGCTAAAGAGGTAACAAATGTAAGTCAGTCTCTCGACACTAGGCCTTTAAAAGCAGGATGGGGTCCAGGAAAACCTCCAGAATTTCTGTGCAAGTTTATTTATAGAAGGGCCACGATCAGTGCCGAGCGATCTACTTCAGTTTGGACATTTGTGATTATTTGTTTGAGGTCTTGCTCTCAGGTCCAGGCTGACCTCAAACTTAGGCTCCCCTCTGCCTCTCCAGCCTGGGAAGGGGCATGAGCCATCGTGCTTGGCCTAATGGGATCTGTATTTTCTCCTCTGGTAGTTCTTTCTTCCCCATAATACTCTCTCCGAGATGGGATTCTCCTATAAAATGGCGATACCCAGTTTGCACACTAAATAAGGTCATTGGGACAGCCATTGAAATAATGTATGTGAAAATTGCTCAAAAAACTGCAGGTTTGAGGAATTGTAGGGGTGTAACGTTTGAGAACATCTAGCTGGAGCTTTGCCCTTCATGTTCTAGTTCATGCCTTTCCCCCCTTAGCCTTTTTTATTGTCCAGTTGTCTGACAATATAAGGGCAGTAAGGAAAAAAAGCTCTCTTGGTTTGGTGGTCTGTGCCTGTAATCCCAGCATTCGGGAAGAGGAGGGTACATAGAGACACCATCTCACAAAGAGAAAGGAGGGAAGGCAGAAACAAGCACACATTGAGTCCTTCTGTGCACTGAGTCTGACCTCTGTGTAAAGCTTCGTATCAGTTCTGTTTGAATCTTGCTGTTTATGTGTAAAGTAATTTGTCTGCAGCCATACTGTTATGAAATGGAGGCCCAGGGTTCAGATCCCCCTGAGAATTAAAAATACTTTACCTTCTCTCCCGTTGTTTGCCATGCATACCACTTCTGATTGAATTCTCTTAGGACAGATAGCTTCAAAATATGCTCAAGAAAAGCTCAGATGTACTCATAAGTAATTTGTGAGAACAGAAAGCAGGCTTTGTCAGCTGGTCTGGAATTCTGCTCTAGGTTCTTTTTGTTTGGTTTTTCAAGACAGGGTTTCTCTGTGGCTTTGGAGCCTGTCCTGGAACTAGCTCTGTAGATCAGGCTGGTTCGAACTCACCGAGATCTGCCTGCCTCTGCCTCCCGAGTGCTGGGATTAAAGGCGTGCGCCACCACCGCCCCGGCTTTGCTCTAGGTTCTTAGTTAATATCTGCACATTTTGCCATGATGTTTTAGAGTCTGTACTGTCAAGTTGGAATGCTTTGTCTTTCCTGCTACACCTGGCCCATTCTGGCTTTGATCTTGCAGTGTAGCTGAGGATCGTCCTCCAAGTTCTACCTCTGTTATTCTGGAATTACAGTCTTGTCCCACCATGCCTGACTTTTACTATGCTATACTGTTAGAGACGGTTGAGGCCATGGTACTTCAAGAACAGCCTGAATGTTAGGCAAAATTAGAAATTGTATGTGTGTTTGTTTGTTTTTTTATGCTTTTAGACATCTTCAACTGGGGGCAAAGCACCAGGAAAAGGAAATATGATGAGCAACTTTTTTGGAAAAGCAGCTATGAGTAAGTATGTTCTTAATTTCTTTGAACTCTCGGAAGAAAGTTACTGTAGTAGCATGTGCCTGCGGTCAAGGCCAGTGGTCTGGGTTTTGCCCATCAGGCATTCCCATTCCCTAGCATATTCATAGTGTGCTGACCAATGTATTGAGGAAAGGAAGGGAACTTTTGGATTTACTTGAGCTCCTGAAGGCTATTTCTGCTTTCACTTCTGGCCTTAGGAAGAAAATAAAATACTTAGGTAGTGAAGCTTTTGAAGATGGTGATAAAGTGAGAGAGTTGCACTTAATATCACGGACGCTGGCGCCAGTTTGCTTGGTGTGACCCTAACTTCAGATGTCTCCAGGGACCACAAAAACAAATATTTTGCCTCTCTTAGGTTATTTTTTAAAGATTACTCATGGCACTGAATTAAATGTCAATGTGAAAATAGGCAGTGATGGGCAGCAATGGGCAGTAATGGCCAGGCCATTTAAATGCATCTTCTTCTTTTTTTTTTTTTGGAAGGAAAGGCCTTTATTTAAGTAAGAATTCTTTCTTAATGGAAAGAGCCAATAGTTATGTATTTTTATACTACTTATATCAAGTACACATCCCTTGGGGGTATGCGGCAGAATACCACATAGAATGTAGGAACCACAGGATGCTTACTGCACTCTCTCTTGGAACATCAGGTTTACAGAGACCTGTGACCTTTTGTCACATGTCTATCCAAGGACAGTAGTCTGAATTCTGCTTTCCCACGACGGTCAGATTGATACGCCGTGGGGGATTGGAGTGATGGTGTTTTATTTGCTGTGGAGGTTCTCAGAAAAGGATGTTTTTGTATTGTGAAAGTAGAAAAATGTGGTACCTGGAAGTTATCCAGAAACATGCTTTGGTGGTGGTGCTGGAGCAATGCACGGGGGCCCCTGTTTCTGTGAACACATCATGATGTCATTCCCCTGCATGGCTGGGACTGGTACCCTGTACTCAGTCTGTTACTATTTCTTGACAATTTAATGATTTTCTTGTTTTTGTGTATTTTGTGTATTTATAAGATCCAGTGAGGAATTTTAATTAATTAAAACTTTTTTGGATAACTTGTATTTGTGTTATCTTGTTGTATCTGTGTAACTTGTGGCGTTAGTTTCCCATGGAATCCAGAAGGAGGTGTTCCAGGCCATTGTGAGTTGCCTGGTGTGGAAAGAGCAGATAGAACCGCTGAGCCACTCTAGTACCCAATGAAGACTCTTTTCGTTTATCATTTAAAAATTCGTAAAATATACAAATAGCTGTTAACAGTAAAAACGGCCAAATTTTGAAATTGTTGATTGTATACCTAGTATGTGCTTAGCTATATTGCACACTAGTGATAGAATGGAAAAAGAAGACAAAAACCTTTGTCTGTAGATAGATGCAGACAATGAAAGGTTGCTTAGCCTTAAAAAGCATGAAATTCTGTTACTTGCAAAATGTTCACTTTCCTAGTCAATTTGGGATATTTTAGTGGGAAAGTTTAAAAAGCACAGATGAGAACAACAGAATTTAGCCAGACAATGGGGGTACACACCTTTAATCCCAGCACTTGGGAGGCAGAAGCAGGTGGATCTCTGTGAGTTTGGACCAGCCTCGTCTACAGAGAAAGTTCCAGGACAGGCTCCAAAGCTACAGAGAAACTCTGTCTTGAAAAACAAAACAAAAACAACAACAACAACAAAAAAGAGAGAATTTAAAATTGAAACCATGGTTACCACTATTGCACTAGTGAAGCCCACCCGTTAGGTTTCCCACATAAACATTCAAAAATATGAATAGATTGCATTTTGTGTTTTGATCCGTCTGCATTCTCAGAGAACTTTGAAAAACTGTTGTCCTAACCTGTACAGTCAGTCAAGACTAAGACAGGTGGTTACAGACCAGGTAATGCAAACGGCTTTCTGAAGAACCTCCACTGTGTATGGCTTTCTAACTGTGTGTTCTGATTTTGCCTATAAATAGCTATTACTGGGTACACAGGCTAGATTATGCATTTCTGTATTTCTCGGGTGGCTGATGTGTTTCTGTTCTGCATGGCCACTTGTGTGTGCTGTGGTATCTCAGCTTAATGTAGGGACCCAGGTCAGGAGTTGAACTAACTGAGGCCCATATCCAGCACTTACTTTTTCTCTCAGTGATACCTTGGGTAACTCACTTAATGTTTTTGCCTGATAGTAGTCTTATAAATATTATCCCAGTTCTTAAAGAGAAAAATGGCTTTTAGGCTTGCCCAGAGGGAAGCAGGATTTGAATTAAGTTCTATCATTGAAGGTAGTAGTGAGATAGGACTATCCAGGCGTTAAACTACGGGGCTTGGAGAGATGGCTGCTCTTCTAAAGACCTAGGTTCAATTCCCAGCACTCATGGTAGCTCACAATCATCTTTAACTGCAGTCCCACGGGTCCAATGCCTCTTCTGGCTCCACACACACCAGATATGCTTGTGGTGCACAGACATACATGCAGACAAAACAACAACAACAAAAAAACCCACCAATACAAGCAAAATAAATAATTTTTTTAAAAGGTTAAATAGAAAAGATGTTGCTTCAAATTTAGCTGTCAGCCCATTTTTAAGCTGTATTCTTGAACATCATTGTGACTACCTGCAGGTCTTGTTATCCTTATTTGAAAATAAGAGGATAACTTCATGAAAGTTGAATTTAGGGGCTGTCAAGCCTGAGGACTGAGTTTGATCCCTGGGATCTGCATGGTAGAAGGAGAAACAGAGAGCGTTCTTCTCTAACCTTCACAGCTGTATCATGGCGCACACACACCCAACAGAAACACAATAAACCCAAAATTTGGTATTTTGAAACCTTGTGTTTGCTGTTGCTAAGGCAGTGGCGTAGTGAGAGGTTAGTGTGATTAGAAATGAAGATCATAGGTGTTTTCTCGATAACTGCTCTTTTTTAGGACAGGGACTGTGTTTACCCTTGCTCCTAGCATTACCTAGCTCTGGAGTGATGGTTAACAGTGCACGGTGGTTATATGTGGTCTGCTGTACTTTATTTGTAGATAAACTTAAAGTCAGTTTGGATCCAGAGCAAGATGTGAAAGAAGAAAAAACAGTGGAGCAGCCTCCGGTGTCTGTCACTGAAACAAAGCTGGCAGCTCCCACAGCTCTGAAGAAATCCAGCAGGAAGGCAGAGCCTGTGAAGATGCAGCAGAAGGAAAAGAAATGGTAGGAAAATTTTGTCACTTGGGAAGGGGAGTGTCTTTTGGAGGTGAGAAGGTCTGTTTGGGATTTCTACGGCAGGCGGTTTCAGCTGAGTACTAAATCCTACCTAAGGCTGTGAGAATGAGAGAGAAGCCCCAGGCTCACCTGGTGAAGCCGGGCTGACCACTGATGCAAACTGTGATCGTCTTTGCCTCCAGACTTCAGAGTAAGTGTGTAGACACCATGAAAGTGTGCCTGTGTGTGTGTTTCACAGTGAGAAGTTACTGTTCCCAGTCCAGTTTAAGAGAAGAAGTTCTTTGTTTTCTTTTTATATCAATGAGTTTATTTTTCAAGTGGTAAAATGTAATTAGAAAAGAAAATAAAAAGCACACAAGCTGTTAAAAATGGATCCAGGAGTTTGAGACACTACCTCATAGCTGGTAGAAATTAGTCTGTTGAAAGAAATTCTAAAGGACACTGTCAGCACTGATAGGCCCACAAAGAACCAACTTTTGTGGTAAAGTTGGAGCAACAAAATGGTGACATTTCAGAGGGGTAAAGCTCTGCCCAGTAGGCCTTGCCCCCTGGGAAGACATGATATATGTGGATTAAAATGTCCCAGCCATGATCCCAGCACTCAGTGTGGGAGGCTGTTACCAGGCATGTACTCAGCATCCCTCCACTAAATAGCCAGTAAGTCTAGGTTTTTAGTAGGTGACTTTACTAGGTTAAGTGTAGGTTTTTAGTAGGTGTCCTTTACTAGGTTAAGAAGGTTTTTAGTAGGTGTCCTTTACTAGGTTAAGTGTAGGTTTTGAGTAGGTCTCCTTTACTAGGTTAAGAAGGTTTTTTTCTATCCCAAGTTTTCTGAGAGGCGTTTACTCATTGCTTTTAAATTTTAGCATGCTTTTTCTGCTTTTATTGAGGTGGCTCATGCAGTTTTTCTGCTAATATGGTCGGTTATACTGATTGACATGAAAATGTTAAACCAGCCTTGCATTCTGGTCGTATTTATTGTTTTTACACACTGCTACATTAGTGAACATTGCCCTAGGAGGACTTTGTTTCTATAGTTTTGAGGACTACAGCTCAGCTGTTTTCTTTCCTGGTAATTGGCTAGTTTTAGTATCCAACTTGTGTTAATCTCATAAAAGAAGTTTGTGAATCATATTTTTTCTTTAACATTTAGTGTGTGTGTGTTATGTGTTTATGTACATATCATGACTCAGCGGACATAACTTGTGGTAGTCAGTTTTCTGCTGCCCTGGAATGGACTTGCTTCATTAGGCTTGGCAGCAGCACCTTGGTCTGCAGAGCCATCTCTGGCCCTATGTGTGGATATAGTTCTAATACATTTAAGTTTATAATAAAATCTATTAGTGAATCTGGGCCTGTATTTTCTCTCTCTCTCTCTCTCTCTCTCTCTCTCTGTGTGTGTGTGTGTGTGTGTACACGTGTGAGAGATGTATATAGTGTTAGTCAAATTTTCTAGTTCTTTTTGGACCAGTTTGTGCTTTTAAAGGACTTTATTTCCTCTAAGTTCCTGAGCTTGTTGAAGCGTTCATAATCTAGCCTTGCTCTTAGAGTATTTGTAGACTCTGCAGTTATGACTACAGAGTCCTTTATTCTCTTTAATCCACTTGGAAATACATGTTTTCCCTCTATTGTAAAAGGCTTATTAATCTTTTCTCCTTAACCTAACAACTTTAGGCTTTGTTAGCTTTCTTTATTTTCTACTGCATTGTTTTCTACTCTAATATTATTCCCTTTGGCTTGCTTTAGGTTTGCTTTATTTTCCTAACTAAAGTAGAAAAAAAAAGTTGATGTTCAAAATTAAATAAGACATAGGCACTCAATGACAGAAAGATTATGGTTTACATGTATTTGTCTCTAACACACAATAGGCCCTTAAATTATTTATTGATGAATGCCATAATTGAGAAAGCAGACAGAGAAGCTAAATAATGTCAAGAGAAAGTCTAGGTTTTTATGACATCACTAGAACGAATTTACGGTCTTATCTATGCCTTTGCTCACGTTGTTCTTTCAATTTACAATATTGTCTTCCCTTCCTACCTGTTGAATATCTACTTAGCTTTTAATGGTTGTGTCCCACAATGTTATTTGTCCATTAAATTTTATCATGTTGTATAATAGCTAGTGCAGCTGGCCAAAACCTGTTTGTCTTCTGAGGCAGGTTTCACTGTGTGGCCCAGGCTGCCCTCAGTCTTAGAATCCTCCCACCTCTCTGCAGAAATTATAGGCATGTGCCACTATGTCTGGCCTGCCATGGCTTTTTGAGCACAGCATTTCTTTCCTGATCTTTGCAATGTGGCTGTTCAGCTGCTTATTTAATTACCGAAAGGCCAATAGGAGGGGAAAGGCATTGACAGGCCTCTAAACTGGCCTAGAGAGAACTGGTGAAACGCTTTGTTCTGACTACCCTATAAAGTGAAATAGTTGTGAATAACCAGCAGTATATTTTCTCCGAAGGACCAGTGTTTCTGCTGGGCACAGTGGACACCACCTGGGAGGCAGAGGCAAGAGGATCTCTGAGCCAGAGGCCAGCTTGGTCTACCTAGTGAGTTCCAGGACAGCCAGGACTACATAGAAACACTGTCTCAAATAAACAAATAAAAATCAATCAGTCTTTCCTTACCTACTTTGTTGTTTTCTACCCTCTGGATTTATGGCTGTAAGCTCTAAAAGAAGCTGCATAGGAACGAACACACGCATACTCAAACATGTGCACACTTTCTGTTCTGTGTAATGGTTGCAGGGGGAAGCGAGTAGACTTATCTGATGAGGAAGCCAAGGAAACGGAAAACCTGAAGAAAAAGAGGAGGAGAAGAATCAAGCTTCCTCAGTCTGATAGCAGTGAAGATGAAGGTAGGCATTGCTGTTAATTTTGGTAGGGGATCATTTCTTGGTTCATGCTCAAAGATCTGAAAAATTCACTTACTGTGGACTACAATGAGAGCAGTAGTCCTAACAATGAGAGAATAATTCTCTTTGAAGTCTGCTACAGATTTTTATCAGAATAGTGATCATTTGGTAACTTGTGAAAATACCTAAAACAGAGACTGGAGAGACGTCTCAGAGGTTAAGAGCATTGACTGCTCTTCCAGAGGTCCTGAGTTCAATTCCCAGCAACCACATGGTGACTCACAAGTACCTGTAATGAGATCTGGTACCCTCTTCTGGCCTGCGAGGACACATACAGGCAAAACACTGTATACATAATAAATAAATCCAAAAAAAGAAAAGAAAACAGAAATACAGAAAACGAAAGTACGACTTTCACACACACTATCTAAGTCCTTTCCTTTCTCTCTAAGGCTAGTGTTCCTTTGGCTGCCTTCAAGTACATATTCTAGACATACCAATAAATAAAACTGGTAAAATTGCAAGACCCTGCATGTATAGTGTCACTGTGGTTCTTTCAGGGTCAGGATGTGGACAGGGTTGTAAGATAAGCAAGCAGAGTTAACACAGGAATCTCTACAGGAAAATTAATGTGCTGTGCTTCAAAACAAATATTAAGTACTTTTAATATTTTTCTAAGTATGTGTATGGGTGTTTTGCTTACATGTTTGTGTGTACCATATGCATACAGTGTTCAAAAGAGGGCAGTTGATTCCCTGGGACTGGAGTTACACAAGGTGGTGAGCTGCCTGCCACGTAGATGCTGGGAACTGAAGCAGGATCCTGAAGAGCAGCCAGTACTCTTAGCATCTGCACTCTTTCCAACCCAGTATCTAAGTCTTATTTAGATCTTACCCCAAACCATGTAAAGTATGTAGAAAGAAGCTAAAGAGAAAGGTTTGGAGGCTACATTGTGCTATCCAGGGAAGTATGTTGAAAGAGCTCGGCTAAACTTGGAACCGTCAGAGGTAGTTTTCCAAGGACTGAGGTGTAATGTGTCTTCTGCGCTGCAGGTGCCGTAACTTCGGGTCCTTCTTTGTTCTTCCAGAACTGCAGTGTTGCTACAAGCTGGCTTTTTGTGGATTTTTATTTTTTTCAAGACAGGGTTTTTCTGTGTAGCCTTGGTGCCTGGCCTGCTGTCCTGGAACTAGTTCTTGTAGACCAGGCTGGCCTCAAACGCACAGAGATCGGCCTGCCTCTGCCTCCTGAGTGCTGGGATTAAAGACATGAGCCACCATTGCTTGGTGCTCTTTGTGAATATTAAGACAACACACCAGAAATGCCGAGACAGCACTTGACACACAGTAGCTTTTTGCATTGTGTCCCTCCCCCGACCTCACTGGATGTTCAGTGTGTAACAGAGATTCTTAGATGTACCTTCTCAGCAAATTCCTTCCCCCCTTCCCCGTGGAAGTGTCTTAAGCACCTTTAGTAGTTCTACATATTTAAAACAAAACAAACATGGCAGGCCCAGAAAGAAATAACATTAATATCTGTGTTATTAGGAAGAAATAGCTTATAGCTGTGTCAAGTATTTGCTAACTTTTTCAGTCCTTGCAGGTTTGTGGTGGATTTCAAGCTTATGGAACACGCACGCACACACACACACGCACACATACACACGCACGCACACCGCTTTTTTTTTTTTGTAAGATAGGTATTAAAATATATATATATATATTGAGTCCTAGGAAACAGTGATTGCTTTCCAGGAATTGGAATCACTGGTCTCTGCCAGAGGACTCTTGACCAACAAGTGGTTACATTGCTGGTTCACTGACACGAGTTTTCCCACAGTTCTTAATTCTGACTGAGTAAAAACTGCTTTCTTGAGATGATGCTTCATCTCTTGAATGTTTCTCGTCATTGAGCACACTAATGCACAAAGCATCTGTCATATTTACGTCAGTAAAAGTGTCCCGAGTTAGAATGCTTGGATTAATGGTAAAAACTGAGTATGGGCAAGGTTTTTTTTTAAATTTCTTTGAACTTCAGTTGTATGAGACAAATAATGATTTGTGGGGTTATTATGAAAATGAGTGATTGATGTTTATAAAGTAGAAAATGTTGGTTGCTTATCCTTCTTAAAATATCTAAGTTTAAACACAAGACAGTTTTTAAAGTCCCATAAAACAAAGCTTATGATGATAATCCCTGCCATCTGAATCACTGAACTGGCTCTTGTCAGCTCCTCCCAGCTGCCTTCCATCTCCCAGGCCGTGTTGAAATCTCTTTATTCCTCTGCTCTCTTCTCTGCCAGGGGGATTATGACATTTTATTACCGTATGATTCTCGGAGGTGGGCAACTGGAAAGTAGGAAGTGGGGACTGTCTGTGGCCTTCCCTTGACCTGGATGTTCCTCACCCCAGATTTTATCCAGGAAGTACTTACTCTCCTTGATTTAAGACATGAGAGTTACTATTGCTCTGTGCCCAGTTCAGGACAACTGTAGCGCCCCTGCTCGTTGGACTGAGTCTGAGGGCAGACACAGGTAAACACTTGCGTGCAGTGCTGGGAGGGGTCCGAGAGGGCCCACAACAGCCCAGCATTCTAGTGAGGTCCTGGTTCTGTAGTGTGCTCTTGCTTAGATTCCCGTCGCGAGCTGAACTCATAGCTAGACTGAAGCTGCTCTGCTTTCCTTTGTCTGTCTCTTGTTTCTCTGAAGTTAGGGCCCATTTCATACTTGAGGTGTCTAATTTATTGCTTTATCCTGGCTCTTACTCTGCTCCACCTCTTTAGGTCATTTGGCCATGAACCCTCCACTGTCATAATTTTTAACACTGACCTAATCAGTTGGGAGAAATTCAGATCCAAGATTTGTGCAGAGAATTTGAATGTAGCCAGGAGGTTCAGGGAGCAGGTGAGGCTAAGCAGCTACCCAGGCCCATGGCCAGCAGTGTCTTGGTGGTGATTAAGCAGTAGGTCGGGAGTTGGGGAGATTAGCTCCGTGTGCTCACTAGTAAATACAAGACCCTGGGTTCAGACCTCAGCTTGGAGGAAGATAAAGTTACAAAAAAGATGACTAGACAAATAAACAAAACAGTAGTCTGCTGAGGTCCCTCCCTTCCTTTCTGATGGCCTTCTCTCAGACCTGATTCCTTACTGAGAAACTGGGATCCCTGTGTGGTACTCCATTGTCAGATACCATTTCCACAACATTCTTTGTCTCCTGACTTGTTCCCTGCCCGTTCTCTGTGTGGCAGAGCTAGACTTATAAGCTTATCAGTGGGGAGGTCACTAGAAGTAGTCTCTTACAGTCGGGGTTGGCTGGTAGATCTTTCATGGAGATTAGCTTTCAAAGGTGATTCTTCCCCAAACCATTCTTCCAGCTGGATGGTGTGGGTCCAGCAGTCCTGTCAGTCATCCTCAGACACTAGCAACAAAGACGCTGTGGAGCACTGAGGAGAACAGGCTGTCTCTACTGACTTGGTCATACTGGGAAGAGAGCGGATGGTTGGGTTACAAAGGCTATGGAATCACACTGGCTTGGGTTTGAGACCTGTTTTTATGAGTCGTGAGCCTTTGCCAAGTGGAGTCTCGGAACCTGTTTACTCAACTGTGTTATGGGAGTAAGATCTGTCTCTTGGGTTGTGGTGAGAATAAAGTGAGACTCCTGATATGTGGTACGTGGTCATTATATGTCAACCAACTTCATGTTCTGGTCTGGTGTACGACAGAACACTTGGCTAAGAGAATCTCTAGGGTATTGCCAACTTCAGAAATTCTTGATTGTAATTATGTAAAATAATTAATGTGTAAAATAATTAATGTGTATCTGACTGTATTCCTTGGTCATCATGAATTACTGCTTGCAAAATACACTTTGATAAGCAGAAGTTTCAAGGCAGATGCAGTGGAGAAGGCATTGTGCTAGTTAGAGCTTTTAGTTCTCTTCATTAAGCTTGTTCCATTTTCCAGTCTTCCCAGACTCTCCTGAAATGTATGAAGCAAATTCACCATCTCCACCTCCTCCTGCATCTCCACCTCCTGAATCTGTGCCAAAACCTGAGTCTCCTCCCGTCAAGGTAAACCCAGCCCAGTTCTCCCTTCCGTGTGTCTTCTCTCAGGACCCTACAGTCACTGTGTTGAATCTTGTGTGCCCTTCTCTGTCTTCTCCAGTGGCCGATAGCTGGCTCGTGTCTCATCTTGCTTCCCTTCAGGTTGACCAGATGGACACACTTTTCTTCTTACCTGAGGGCAGACATTGCTGTGGGGGATAGCCTTAGGAAGGTTGTGTGTGAGGGGTGTGGCTCTGGGCAGCTGCTTGTTTTTCTGTGATCTTCACCATCAGGACTGCTTGCGGCCCAGCCTCCATCAGGGCAAATTATGAAAGATAAAAGGAAACACAAAACTCAAATTTGTTCTTAGGGAAAGGACTAGATGAGAAAACCACAGCAAACAGTGACATGCAGTTTTGAATGCTCTTTAGCTGTGGCTCATCTGTTTCTATCAGTTGATAATAGTGGGTGGTGAAATGTTGAGAAGATGAATGCTGATAAGTCTCCTTCGTAACCACTAGTTTTCTTTAATTCATTCTGCTAAGACTTAATGTAAATCTCATACTGTTATATCATAGCCAAAGAAACAGGATGAAAATGTAGATAAAAGGGAACTGATAGTAGTAATATGTGCTTCTGGCTAAACTAGTTGGGTATGACGTTCAAACGCCAAGGCTGAACATGGAAGTATCTACTGCTTTCCTGGAAAGTCCTGACACAGCATATTGCGGTAGTATGCTTTCCTTGTCCGTCTCTTCCACTAAGGTCCTTAATCTGTGTGTCTTTTTCACCAAGAACTCGAATCTTTCCCAAGCACACTGCTTCTCTTTCTGTAATCGGGAAGATGCCAGGCCTGTGCTTACAGTAAGCATTATGTGCCTGTGAAGTGTAGAGTTCCTCGTTCTCCGTTTGATCATAATGGCATGATAGGGGTGTTTTTTTGTAGATTTAGAGTCTTCTGTTATTTTTCTCTATAGCTTCACAGGTCGACTTAATATTGTTACTGTTTATCTTTTAGAGTTCAAGTGGAGAAAACAAAAGAAAACGAAAGCGTGTACTGAAATCTAAAACCTTTGTGGATGAAGAGGGCTGCATAGGTAAGGCAAATGTTTGGCATCAGGCTTGAGTTCTTATTTTAGTGAGGCACTGTAACTCCCTGCAGAGCAGCTGTCTGCAGTGTGAGCGCACATGGGCTTAGACCATGCAATGCTGCCTGTTGCTCCTTCTCTGAGGCCTTCACTGAGGAGCAGAGTACACAGAACGCTGCAGTGAAGTCAGCACCTGCACCATGAAATGAAGCTCTGAGAGTGGCCTCTGAGTCATGTCAGACTGATTCTGTTAGCAGCTCAGTAGTGGGCAGGAGGCTGCCCACGGGTAATTGGACCTGGGAGTGTCAAGTCTCTGGTGTCCCGTGCCATTCATCCATAGAAGAGTATGACTTGACGGGATCCCTGCTTCCTGGGCATCCTCTTTACTCCAGGTCAGGCTCTTTCCATAGATGGGTGGTCTGAGGTGGGGCTTTTGGGATTCAGCACTTGAACCCTGTTGAGATGCTCAGACTCCAATACTGTGCTCTCCTGCCTAGAGGCAATCGTGGATTTGTAAAGTTCTGGTTGGTTGGAGCATGAATAATTTCTTCTCCTTTCTTATGGTACCTGTCACGAAGCTAGATCTCCTAGAGAAGGTCCCTCCCTTTTCTTTTTTTTTCCTGTGTTACCCTGGCTGTCCTGGAACCTGCTCTGTAGACTAGGCTGGCCTTAAACACAGAGATCCACCTGCCTCTGCCTCCTGAGCACTGGAATTAAAGGTGTGTGCTACCAATGCCTGGCTTTCTTGCCCTTTTGATTTTCATTTTCTTGTTACATTTCTCTCTTTAAAAGATTGATTGGCTCTGAAGAATCAGCTCTTCTTCAGCAAGTGCTGATTGAAGCTCCTGGAGTCGCTGTGTTGGTCGCAGGCCCCTTCTCCTGACAGGCCTACCACTGTGACTGTAATTGATCCTGACGTATGATGCTGTAGACATGCTGCCTTTGAGTAGAGACTACAGCTTATGACGTATCAGGGGCTTATTGCCAACCATGAGATCATTTCCTTTCTGTAGACAGCTCTTCGGGCTTCCTAACATAGAAACAAACAACAGTTCATAGTATTGTCCATGAATTGAGTTATAGGATGTATATAGCATGGTGGGTGTGTGGGGTGAAGGGCGTTCTGGACTTGTGCTTGCTGGACTACAGGGTATTCATTCCATGGGAATGTCTCAAGTGTCTTCTCAAAAAGATTGACACATTTCTCTAATATTATTAACTACGCAAATTATCTGAAAGTCTTACTAAAATTGAAGTTTTTCTGCATTGTTCTTGTCTTTCTCTTTTCCTTTCTTCCTTTGTAGGCATGGTCTCCTCAGGGTTCTCTTACCAATCTCCAAGGGCACAGATTTCAGGTGTTTGCCATATTATGCTTGATTGAGATGCTGTGTTCCTAATTAGATTACCAGAGAGGCCAAGTTCTCTCATCTGAACTATATCTTACTTTTCTTTTTTTTTTTTTTTCTTGTTTTGTTTTTCAAGACAGGGTTTCTCTGTGTATCCTTGGCTGTCCTGTAACTCATTTTGTAGACCAGGCTGGCCTCGAATTTAGAGATTCAACTGTCTCTGCCTCCTGAGGCCCAGGACTAAAGGCTTGTAAATGCCCTTGGTCCTCTAAGTCTGCAGGAACCATCAAAGAGGGTTATCGGTTCTTGAAAGTAAAGACCAATTCTAAGAACTCCCCAGGGGAGATTTTAGGCAGTTTTGTAGCCTAATTGGGTTAGCTGGATATGGGTGAAGGGTGTGCTAAAGAGGCAGTAGCCAGCTGACCTCCAGCAGAGTACACCATGAGACAAAATAGCACTGAGAAGTGTTTGCCAAAGACTGCCAGGTACATCCATGTGTGCTGATGGTCAGTGTGCTCCCCATTTTCATAATGTAAGCTGAAGTAAATCTTGGACTCATTAGCAGTCATTCAGTTACAAGAACTGAGAAGTTGAGTAACGAATTGTGGCTTCAGATGGGGCAGTGGTTGACACAGGATGGAGTGAGCTAGAAGCACCCATGGTGGAAGAGTGAGAGCTCTGACAGGCTAAATGAAGAGCTAGGAGAGTGAGCACTGGAAATGGGCAGGACTCAGGAAGCCACTCAGAGCATGGAGTTAGGAAGAGATGTTTGAGATACAGACAGCTCGTATGTAGACATACATAGCCAGTGTAGACAAGGACACAAGGAACAGGATTGGGCAATCTGATGACATGGGGCTTAGCTGTGAAGGAGTAGGGGATTCTCACCATGTGACCTCAGGGTAAATGTGTTCTCCCAGTAAGAAAAAACTCAGGACCTGATGCACAGGGCAACCTCCCCTTTGGTAACTCAAAGCCACCATGTCCCTGATTTTTTTGTTATTCCAGTAACTGAAAAAGTCTACGAGACTGAATCATGCACGGACAGTGAAGAGGAGGGAAAGATGAAGGTGGCGCCGGCACACAGACCCCCTGCCGCTGCTGTGAAAAAGGAAACCAAAGAGGAGCCGCGAAAGGGCCCCAAGAAAGGGACCGCAGCTCTGGGCAAAGCCAACAGACAAGTGTCCATTACTGGCTTCTTCCAGAAGAAGTAAATGCTGTCCCTGGCAGGACTTGGGGTGGTCAACGGAGAAGACCAGCAAGTATAGACTGTCACTTACTGTGTAAGTTTGCCTAGCTCCTTGCCTCATCTGTATCAAAATGCTGCACTGCCATCACGTGACACTTGGACTATTTCTAGGGTTTTGTTTTTTTTTTTCTAACCAAAAGGGAGTCACCTAGAAGCAGGAGGCAAAAGATATTTTAAAAGCTGTTACATTGTAATGAGTTTATAAAGCACAATTTCTGACCTGCCTGGAAGAATTCATTTGAGAATTACCTGCTGGGCCCCACTCACACCATGTTCCTCTTCTGGTCCTCTGTATTCTGTGAACTTGTGTGGCAGTGTTTTTATTTTATGAATTCTACTGGATGTCTTCACCACTTCTCACTTTCCTCTCCGTGCCGACACACTTCTGTTCCCTGACCCCGCAAATCATTTTTCTGTAAAACTTTTGCATCTTGGTCAGACAAAAAGCTAAAACTAAAATCTTCTGTAATCCCTTATTTCTGTCATATAGCAAGTGGCACTGAGCTGCAGGCAGACCACAGAGCTCTCCAGAATTGCTCACATCAGTGGCACTGAGCTGCAGGCAGACCACAGAAGCTCTCCAGAATTGCTCACATCAGTGGCACTCAGCTGCAGGCAGACCACAGAGCTCTCCAGAGCTTTGCTCACATCAGTGGCACTGAGCTGCAGGCAGACCACAGAAGCTCTCCAGAGCTTTGCTCACATCAGTGGCACTGAGCTGCAGGCAGACCACAGAAGCTCTCCAGAGCTTTGCTCACAGTGACACTCAGCTGCAGGCAGACCACAGAGCTCTCCAGAATTGCTCACATCAGTGGCACTCAGCTGCAGGCAGACCACAGAGCTCTCCAGAATTGCTCACATCAGTGGCACTCAGCTGCAGGCAGACCACAGAGCTCTCCAGAATTGCTCACATCAGTGGCACTCAGCTGCAGGCAGACCACAGAGCTCTCCAGAATTGCTCACATCAGTGGCACTCAGCTGCAGGCAGACCACAGAGCTCTCCAGAATTGCTCACATCAGTGGCCAGGACAGAGCACAAATACCGAACCTCACTGAGTCTGCATGGCAGCCACGGCAGAGCTGCCATGTTAACACAGGGTACACAGTCTACTCCTGTGTTCACGGTTTCTTTCTCCCAAATACATTTCCAGTCTCAATACCGAACCTCACTGAGTCTGCATGGCAGCCACGGCAGAGCTGCCATGTTAACACAGGGTACACAGTCTACTCCTGTGTTCACGGTTTCTTTCTCCCAAATACATTTCCAGTCTCAATACCGAACCTCACTGAGTCTGCATGGCAGCCACGGCAGAGCTGCCATGTTAACACAGGGTACACAGTCTACTCCTGTGTTCACGGTTTCTTTCTCCCAAATACATTTCCAGTCTCAATACCGAACCTCACTGAGTCTGCATGGCAGCCACGGCAGAGCTGCCATGTTAACACAGGGTACACAGTCTACTCCTGTGTTCACGGTTTCTTTCTCCCAAATACATTTCCAGTCTCAATACCGAACCTCACTGAGTCTGCATGGCAGCCACGGCAGAGCTGCCATGTTAACACAGGGTACACAGTCTACTCCTGTGTTCACGGTTTCTTTCTCCCAAATACATTTCCAGTCTCAATACCGAACCTCACTGAGTCTGCATGGCAGCCACGGCAGCTGCCATGTTAACACAGGGTACACAGTCTACTCCTGTGTTCACGGTTTCTTTCTCCCAAATACATTTCCAGTCTCAATACCTAGAGAGTGGACAGTACAGTGAGAGAGGAAAGGGAGAAGTGGCAGTGCCCATCCCAGGAAGGCATGGAGACCTAAGGCACACATTAGGAGATGTTGCTCCTCTGTGTTTTCAGGTCCTCCCGTTCCCTGAGCAGTACAGGCTCCCCAGGAAGAGATGGGGGACTGACCGGTTATAGGTCTAGACAGTGATGAAAACGTTGGCTTTTGTGCCTTTATTCTGATAATGGCTTTCAAGCAGCTTCCATTATGGCTGGGCAGGAGGTGAGAGCCATCTAGGTTGTGTGGGCAATTTTTGCACAGAGTTGCGGGGAAGGGAGCACAGACATGACTGCCCATGTGATTCACTCTCAGCCGATGAGGGGTGTCTGACCCAACCCTTCCACTGAGGCCTGGCTTATGTCACAGAGATGTAAGCAGCTGCCTACTATTGGAAGTTAGGGTTGGGACTGACCTTGGCATTAACACAGCTGCTTTAGCAACCAAGCATGGGCTTGATTAGGACCAGCAGCTTGGGAGATGAGTCTTGGCCTCATGGCGAAGGCTGGAGGGCAGAGGCTTTGCACGTCAGCCTGAGTAAAGGCTGGCACACGCTAGACCTTTTTTTTTTTTTTAAGTGGAAAAGAGTGGAATGCCTGGACTGAGGCTTGACAAGAAGCTTCTGGAGAAGAGTCCCTTGTTTTAAGTGGTTATTTTTGTCATCGCCTCTGGCCATTTTTCCAAATGGGAATGGAAAAGTACAAGGCAACAATCCAGTATTCTTTAAATCTGATTACAGAGGGACTTCTAATAAAACCAAGTTTGAATTGGAGCTCTGGTGTGATCTGGGGTTCTCCTCTCAAGGGAGAGTACAAGTCTCTGGTCCCTGCACCCAGCTCCCCACCTGAGTTTGGAGCTGCCTGCAGAAGCTAAGCAAGCATCGCGTGGTGATGTTTTCTCTCCATTTTATACAGCACTCAACCAGGTTACCCACGAGCTAAATAAATTCGAGAAGCTGTTTTGAAGCAGTACTCAACCTGAATGTCTGATGTGTCCATTGCTTGACAGCCTGGTGGCAGGGTGTGTAGTTACCTAAACGCTGACTGGGAACAGACTGATTTTCAGTTTATGTTGCTAAAAGTGCACACCCACAATCTGAAATGTACAAGTTATTTTGCTGTCTTCATCATCTTTTCAGTCCTCTGGGAAATCTTAGTTTTAACCGGCCTTATTTTTCAGTTCATTAAGAAGGAAATCTAGTCCTGATCTTGCATTCTGTTCTTTAACAAAGTTGAACTGAAGTGAGCCACTCTGTGTGCTGAGCCGAACTGATAACTGTAGCCTAAATGTGGTCCATGGTGGTGGGCAGGCAGTGGGTGCTGCTTCATCCGTGGGGGATGCAGGCAGCTACCAGGTTCTTGAACCCAGCACACGACCCAAATAGCATCCTCTCAGAGGCCTGGCAGTACATCTGGTCAAAAGGGGAAGGTGACTATCCGGTTTTATAACAGATTTTAAAGAGCAGAATTTTCTTTTTTATTAAAAGAAAGGTTTAGAGATGGCAGTATTTACTATTCATTAAAACATTTATTGTGTCTAACACATATCAGGCCTCTCACCGGAACACAGGAGGATACAATAGAAAGTGTAGAATATGTTTCTTGTCTTCAGCATCCGGTGGAGATGAGAAGATAAAATGGAATTGCAGGGCTGTGGATGCACTGATAGGTAAGTCAGGGTCTCCCAGAGCTCTCAAGGCGGGTCTCCAAGTTAGCATCTGGGAGGGAGAGAACCACACAATTTTTGAAGAACACGTATGAGCTTACCATGAAAAAATGGGAAGGGTCTCCCAAGTAAAAGGATGTCTTTGGGGGGGGGGGAGTAGATTGTAGAATTACATTTTTTCCTGTATTAGTGTTTTGCCTGCATGTATATATGTATAAGCATCATGTATGTTCCTGGTGCCCCTGGAGACCAGAAGAAAGCATCCCTGAGCTGCCATGTGGGTCCTGGAAATGGAACCTGAGTTCTCTGCAAGGATAGCAAGTGCTCTGAACTACTGAGCCAAGTCTCCAGCCCCAGACTTTAAACTTTTAAAACGGGGGGAAAGACTGAGATGTGAAGTTGGGGTGCCTCTAAATAGTTTGGGTTTACTTGGTAATGGAGACTTGCTGAAAGCTGCTGAGAGGGTTTTGTAGAACTGCATTAAAAGCCAGTTCAGTCCTCTGTGATGAGTGAGTTTGCATGTCTGGTGCTTCTATGAGGGTGCACCTATCAGTGAGTGCACATTGTATCTGAGGTCTGGTAGTGCCAGAGGGATTTGAGAAGTTGTCGTAGCGCAGACTGCTTCATTCTGGCAGCTGGCGTGAGCAGCTTGCATTGTTCTGCAGACTTTCCTCTTCAGCTTGGATTCCTGTAGCAGGATTCGTTTCTTAGAAACCTCAGTGATAGGGGCCTCCTCGACTGCTTAAAACCCAGGGAGTGGGATGGGGGCAGGACAAGTTCTCTGTTCTAGCTTTGTTCTTGAAGAAGACAGTGCTTGGTATCCAGGGAGCTGAAGAGGATCCTTATAAGGAAACAAATCCTTTCTTGAGGACAGGGTAGAGCAAGCGCCTAATAACAGACCTGCCAGAGATGCACTCAGTGTCAGACTCGTTTTGGTAAATGTGTCTCTTCTTTCCTTGGTTCCGGGATCTCAGTATCCTGTATAATGCAGCTTTCACCACCATGAAACCTTCAGGGCGAGAAGGCAGCCTTGCTCTCTGAGTTATTACCCTAGCGGCTCTGCAAATTAGCCCATGCTGTCACCATGCCCTCTCTGAAGGGCACATTGTACCCAAATAACTGCGTTTAGGATTGGCTCTCGCCACTCCCTGCTGCATGACACTTCTCCCCTCTTGTGTCTCTGTCCAGTTTTTGTGTGTGTTCGTAAGTGTGGGCCACCCACAGATGACCACCCAGACTCCTTAGCAAGAAGCTTGGTAAGGCTTCTGGTCTAATTTTCCATTGGATCAGAACCCACCATAACTCCAGAATTGCCCTTCCATTTTGAGCCTAAGTTGCCACACTCCCCTCCTCCTCTACTTTTCTCTCGATCTTGCCAGGCTTCTCATTCCTTGAGGCCTCCCCTTGGCTCTTGCCGCCTTCTTTTTTAAGGCTCGGAGTTCTCTGTGGCTAGCCCTTCTTCAGCTTTCCCTTTGGTCTTTCGGGCTTTCTTCCTCCATGTGGCACGTCTTTTCCTGGACTGCGCTTGAAGGATGGAAAAACCACTTAGCCTAGTGTCTGCTGTGGATCCTTCAAATGCAAAGCCCCGAGCATTTGAATGATAGTCACCTTGGACCCGGACCAGAGACTCCTCCATCTGTGAGAACCTGGAAGACCAGCCGTATACACATTAACTACTACATTCATAACAGTGAGAGTGCAGATGAGCAGAGGACCTGAATGACCACAATGGGCAGTTTTCTAGCTCCCCTGCAAAGATCGTCTTTGACTTAGGAA